TCGATCACATACTGTTCGGCGTTTGTGTTACCCGACGGGTGCAGGTAATGTTGCGCGGTACACGAATCGACAAACGTGTAGATGTTGCCTTTTAACACGGTGTCGGTTTTGTAACTGGAAACGAACTCGGTCAGCGTTGACCCTTCGATGGCGTACAGCAAGAAGTAAACGCGCCACATCCACGGGTACGCATGGTCGTTTGCCACTAGCAGAGCGGAAAACATTTTGGCGATTTTTTTTTTAAATTCTTCAAACGTCCTTATCACACGTCAGTACGCTATCCGTATAGTCGAACATGCCCTGAAAGATTCTGCCGTAAATGCATTTCAGTTCTCTCATTTTCAGCGTGTACATTTCTAGGCCGCCTGCACAATCCGCCGGATTCTCTGACAACCATTACATTTGGTGTTGGGACAAATAATGCGAATTCGCCATTGGTATTCCATCTTACTCGAAGTCGCCTACAACATATAGAAACTTCGTCTCGTTAACCGTATTAACGAGTTTTGTAGAAATTGTTGTTTTATTAAAGTATGACCCTAAAAAAACAATGTTTTTTGTAAAGCCGCAAAATGCAAAACATAGTTTAATATTTTCACAATTATGATTTCATTTCGTTAATAGAACTTTTGATGCCAAAATCATAATTTATATAAAAAAAACATGTTTAGCAAGTTGAAGCACAAAATATTATTTCCCTTAATATATATTTGTATAACAGTAATCGTTAGGAATGGTAAGAATATAAAATTTACCAACATATTTATTATTCTTGTCAATTGATAAAGACTAATATGACACAGTGATGCAATTATGTATATTTCTCAACACAATTATTGGGAAATATAAAATATGCATGCACAGACATTTTTCAGTAATTTAATATTACAATTCAAATACTTGTATAGATAAAGTAGACGATGTCATAACATATATTAAAAACAATAACGAAACAAATGTTTATGTTGTGTGAAAAATACTCAAATGTCTATTATTTGAAGATGCTACCTGGCTTGGCCATTCTCTGTTTGTAGGTCAAAAAAAATAACTATCAAGTAATTATAATATACATGCTATTTAAACAATGGTCAGAATTTGGTGATATATATATATTATAGGTAAATGAAAAATGTCAGAGCATGCATGTTTTATAATTTCCAATTGTGTCGGGAAATATACATAAATGCATCACTGTGTCATTGTAGTCTTTGTCAATTGTCAACAATAATATATAATATGTTGTTTTACAAATAACATTGTGTTTTTGGGTCATACTTTAATAAAACTGTTTCTACATAGTCTGAATAACACTTGCTAAAAAATGTATGTTGTATGCGATCTGTTTTTTTTAGATCATACGTTAATAAAACTGTGTCTACATAGTCTGAATAACACTTGCTAAATAATGTATATTGGATATGATCGGTAATGTGTGCTTTAATGATAAGTTTAAGTATAAGATACAAAAATAATTTCCAGACACAAAAAACAAATAAAACAAAAACACATTGTTGTAAACACAATACCATCTCAGCTCCGCATCGAAGATAAAAAATGTGTACAATGTATGCACAGTAATTGTAGAAAAAAATTTGGTCAACATTAGTCGTTATGCACAATAAAGCAATAAAATGATAAAATATTTTAATAACACTAACCACAAAAAATATTGTATCTGGTACATTTTAAAGTTAAAAAAAAAACTGAGATTTAACAATCAAATCCAGAAAGCGGTAAATTCCAAATTGAAAATGTTTTCGTGCATCAAAAACATTTTTAATTATAGCTCATTATTATAATGTTATAATTTAGAGGATCCATCGTGGGCAAATTTTGGAATGGAAAAAGAAGGGGAGGGCTCGCTTAAAATCTGCGGGGGTTAATTAAGGATAAAAAACGGTTACATAGTCTATTTAAACTTACTGGCAGTATTACTGATTATGTAAATTTCTCAGAGATAAGGAAAAAATGTAAAATAATGACTAAATCATGTTATGAAAAATATATAGAACTTATCCAATCTTCTTTAACCAAAAACCCAAAATATTTTTGGAACTATGTAAAGAATAAACAAAAACAAAATTTCATTCTTTATGAATGTAACTGACGGGGTTGTGGTTGCAAATAATATGAATGATGCAGTGAACTTATTTAAATCATATTTTGAATCTGTCTACACTTATAGATATAGTAATACGAATCACATCAAAAGTTTTAATACAAATATTAATTTTAGCAGCAGTGAGTTTACTGTAACCGAAATATTCGAAACGCTTCGTAAATTTATCATATAATACTAATAGTGGTCCTGATCAAATTCCTGATTTAGTTTATAAAAAGTGTCATTTCTCATTAAGTAAACCCATACATTATTTAGTCAATCTTTCGCTATCGTCTGGATGTTTTCCTGAAAAATGGAAATCAAGCTTTATTTATCCGGTTTATAAATCGGGAAATCGAAGTGAGGTTACTAATTACCGCCCAATTTCGCGATCAAGTGCTTTGCCAAAAATTTTAGAAAAAATGTTAATACCAAAATTTGAAACTGTCTTTAAAAATATAATTTCTGATAAACAACATGGTTTTCTTCATTCGAAATCAACAACGACTAATCTAGTAATATACTATTCCGATTTAATATCAGTGGTTAGTAAAAGCATTCAAGTTGATGCAGTTTACACTGACATTAAGAAAGCATTTGATAGTGTGGACATGTCTATCTTAGTAAAAAAACTAGAATGTAATGGTATTGGTGGACAAATGCTAACTTGGATTAAATCATACTTGTGTGGTAGAACACAACAGGTAAAGCTAGGCAATTTAATCTGATCAGATATAAAAGTTACATCAGGTGTACCCCAAGGGGGGCACTTATCGTCTATCTTATTTTTACTCTTTATGGATGACATTAATAATATCTTTAAAAATAGTCACTTTTTAATGTTCGCAGATGATTTAAAACTCTATATGCCTATTTACTCGATTGCTGATTGCATTAAATTACAAATAGATTTAGATAACTTTTATTCTTGGTGCACATCAAACGGATTAAGTGTTAATGCAGAAAAATGTTCGCAAATAACATTTTCAAGACGTAAATCCAAGATGAATTTTCATTATAAAATTAATAGCTCAGAATTAACAACAGTAACACAGATAAAAGACCTAGGTATATTCATATCGAATGATCTATCTTTTAACCAACGCATAAATATAATGTGTAACAAAGCTCTTCGTGTATTTGGTTTTATAAGACATAATTGTTCAGAATTTAAAAACCCTGATTGTTTAAAAATATTATATTTTACACTAGTACGTTCTATTCGAGAATACGGCTCTGTAATTTGGAACCCATATCAAGGCGGATTAATAAATCAAATAGAACGTGTTCAAAATAGATTCTTACGTGTACACGCATATAAAACTAACAAAACAGGTTTATCTCTTGAACGACTAATGTGTCACTATGGTATTGTCTCACTTGAAAAAAGAAGGCAATTACTTGATGCGTCTCGGTTGTTTAAATTACTGAATTCATTAATTGAGTGTGCTGAAATTCTAAGTCAAATACCTCTTAATGTCCCTCAAATAAATACCCGTTTGTCACAAACGTTCTATTCTGCTACCTACCGGCAAAACTACAGTTCTTACGCGCCGATTAATAGAATGTTAGTTACAGGTAACTCAATAAAAAATTTCGATTTTTTCCATGACGACTTAACCAGATTGAAATATGTTATTAATTTGTAATTTGAAATTCATATATGTATATATATATATATAATTGTATCTCTACTATATTTGTATCAAACGTGTTTGTAATTGTCAAATAACTGTTCTGAGCCCGATTTGGGCGTATAATAAAAATAATAATAATAATAAAAAAATACATTCAAGCAATAGTCATATAGTTGATGTTTACATAGTAAAAAAAAACAAGGGATAGACTTCAGCCCACCATATACTACCCTTGTATCCGTCCCTGGAATCCACCTATGCCGTACTGGATAAGCCTGTATACAAAAAAAAATAAAAAGTCTAAAAATAGAAACAAAGTACATATGGTTAAGCTAAATGTATAAGAAATAATCAATAGTAGGCTAAATAAAAAATTTCAGAATATGATAATTTGGACTTTAAGCTTATAACGAAATGAGTAGAATAAATTTAAAAAAGTGATATATAGTGTTCTTTTTCAGAGTGACAGGGTTGTATCTGCATAGGACTGTTTAGAACTATTATTACTAATAAATAGTAAATTATAGCATATCGTTAGTTAAGTATGTCATACCGTAAGTATGTCAATTTTGAGAATTGTTTTAAAAGGAAAAGAGTCAATTTTGTCTAGTTTTGGCCTCTAAAAGCTAAACTCCTATTTACGATTTCTGATCTATAAACTATTTCTATGAAAAAAACATTAATTGAAATATAGATAAATTCAAATTACAACAAGAGTTTAGGTTATAAAAACATTTTTCAAAAAGACCAATTTTCAAAAATTTCAATGTTTTGAACATTTTTTATTTGAACCTTTTTGGTGGTTTTCACAATATTTCAAGAATTATTTTTTCTGCCACGGTCTGGCCTAAAAATAAATGACCAGTTAAAAAAAAAATTTATTTTTAGGGTTGGCCTCCATTTTAAAGGAGAAGAGGTGTAAGTTGTTTACTTGTGTCCTTTATAATATTAGATCACATGAATTCAAACCCTAGTTTTCATGATATAGACTAATAGTAAACAATTGCTGTACAGCAAACGAGTAAGTCGAACGAAACAACACAAATGCTAGACAAAAAGCAAATATGTAGGGTTTTTTCAACGATTGCAAATCGATAAAATAACTGTGATTCAATACATTAGTTTTGTCTTAAATAAATAATGTCTGCGTACTTGCTGAATTTTATAGGTCAATCCAAATTTAAAAATCTATTTGTGTTGTATGTAAATACAAATACATTTAAAAACATTCGTCCATATAAGAATACCGTTAAAACGAGATTAAATTTTATTACAAGTCCTAGTGCTAGCCAGTGAAATAGCTGTTATCATCACGTTTTACTTTTTCCAACGACAATGATGTTAAGTTTAATGTTTTTTGTTTATTCATTGTTTGGTTTACACCTAATTCCGAATTATATAGAATGCGCACCATCAGAGGTATACAATGTTTTTTACAATTTAACAAATGTAAAAAAAAAAACAATTTTTTTTAACATTTTTTTTTATTTGTAGCAGCCTAGTGCTACAAGCAGTCCTCCCCGTCTTTCCCTGAATTCGTTCCTCAAATCAGATAGGGTTTATCCATGTCCTCAATACTAATAGTTGTCGATATTTCAATAGTTAGAATCCTACTAATCCAATTATAATCTACCTTAACCTAATTCTAATCCAACACTAACCTAACAAAGTTGCGAAAATTCTTATTCGAATAAAACTTTATTTAGACAATTTTTTTACAATTTAATCAAATAGGTAAAACATTTGTTTTATGCAGTGTAACTTATTATTTTTTATACGACATGGTATTATAATTACTTAAAATACGCACCTAAAAACGATTTAAATAATATGTGTTTGAAAATTATTTTTAAGAAATAGAAAAAATATTTTTTTAACTATTTGAATAACTTTTACTTGAATAATGTGTTATCTAGATGATTATTTCAATAACATTTTATTCGAATGATGCACAACTTTGCCCAAAAAAAATCCAAATCTATTCTCTAAAACTAAGCTAATTTTTAATTTTGTGACGCTTTTAGGCAAATTGGTACAAACACATACGTTTTACATACAATTTCTTTAATGAAACTTTAATCTGAACCTTTCCTCTCTCGCGAAAAATCATATTTTAATTGCAACGCTTTTATATTTATACTCAGAAGTTCCCATTTTACATAGTTCTACCAAATAAATACTATTTAATTATGGATATCATAGTGTTAAAGATATCATGACTAAATAAGTAAACGTTAACTCGACGTGCGAGGTAATCAATTTAACGCAAGATTATTCATTTGCCGGATATTGATTGCAATTTGTATATAATCACACATAACAACATTATTATAAACTTATCATATTTATCTGAGTTTTGGTAAAGTTTGGAGTGTATGAAACATAAGGTGTGTCGTGTTAGGTTTGGTTAAGCATTGGAAGAAGGTTATACGGCTCTCTCTCTCTGACAGCAATATGTATACTTGTTAATTATTACGAGCAATCTAATCTATTGTTCACTCGAATACGGTTAACGAGACGATGTTTGTAAATGTTGTAGGCGAGTTCGAGTAAGACGGCGGCTTACGATTGGCAATGGCTACAGTCCATAAATCGTATACCGATGGGCAAATCACATAAATTGTCGCACCAGCAAATGTATCTGTTGTCAGAGAATCCGGCGGATTCTGCGGGCGGCCTAGAAATGTACACGCAGAAAATGAGAGAACTGAAATGCATTTACGGCAGAATCTTTCAGGGTATGTTCGACTACACAAATAGGGTGCTGACACGGAATGCGAACGTTACGGAAGCGTGGCCGGCGTTGGAAGAGTTTAAAAAAAAAATCGCCAAAATGTTTTCCGCTCTGCTAGCGGCAAACGACCATGCGTACCCGTGGATGTGGCGCGTTTACTTCATGGTGTACGCCGTCGAAAGGCCAACGCTGACCGAGTTCATTTCCAGTTACAAAACCGACACCGTGTTAAAAGGCAACATCTACACGTTTGTCGATTCGTGTACCGCGCAACATTACCTGCACCCGTCGGGTAACACAAACGCCGAACAGTATGTGATCGACAGTTTAACGGTGCAGGGCCAAAACCAATCGGACTACGCCTATCAAAATGCCAATTTGTTTGGCATGGACGAATTGTTACTGAAAGCATTTCGCACAGACTCCATGTTCGAGCGATCCCGAGTTAACGATTTCCAAGACAAGTTGAAAAAGCGACTGTTCGCCGTTTGGGATGCGCCGAGGAGTGATTTCTACTCGAAACACATCGATCTCGTCATTCACCACAATTTGATCGCCACGTTAATACATTGTTCCATTTCTCACTATGTTTGGATGTATTTGGACACGGTCAAGAAAGATCAATCAGTCAATACCCAAACCGCTTTGGATGCGTTGATGTCGCCCTTAAACCTCGCCGTCAAGCTGTTGGATAACCACAGCGATGAGTTTTACAACGATTTGCTGTCGAAAATCCAGTCGAGAACGGTCAGTGCGGGAACGTTGCCGGGTCTTTTGGCTAAGGCCAAAGAGAACTTTGGTAGTCATTTTTCCTCGTTGAGCGTACACGGAGCGTCACGAAACAACATAGAACTCATTGAAATGTTGACGAAAAAAAAAAGTAACTCTGATAAGAATACTGCTTCAATATTCGCGTCCGATTTAAAAAATTATATAAAAAAACTCGGTAGTTTTTCGTTCGAGTTGATTGATTTTTATAAATCAAGTACAGTTGGAAATAATTAAATAGTATATTAAAATAATAACCCACATTTACCATGAATTAAAATGTATTACAATAATGTAACTGCACTCCTCGTCACTTTTATTAATTAATCGGTATCACTTTTATAATTTTAAGCAAACACTGTATACTGCATTTTAGTCTGTATTTATAATTAATGCCTGTCATGGCGTACATAAATTAATTAAAATCCTATTTTAAATGTCACAACATCACTTTTTTGGGCTTTCTAATAAAATATAATACATACATGATGTTTTTATTTTTGTGTAAATTATTAAAATAGTTTAAAATACTATGAAAAAAAATGTTTATAAGACATATAAATCTATATATTTTACTTCTCTTAGTTTCAGCCTTTTATACCATACTGCCAAGCAAGATAATCTTATCTCCTATTTCTGTTCTCGACTGCTTCCTTACATCGGTATTCGACTTCACCGACACGTCATGTTTTTTATTAACACAATGTTTCCATCTTAACGTTGGCTTTCCAAAATGTTTTTTTTTCGAATAGACTTTGGTGATGAGCTACTTGGAATCTTTTCCAACATGCGATTATTGAGAGACCATACTTGATCATTTCTTTGCGCCAAAAAAGATATTTATTTTGTGATTATATATAACAGGTTATATACTAAATTCCAAGTTTTTCGGTTTTTTTCATTATAAAAATACGTTAACTCCGGATTTTTATTTAGTTAGTTTTGAAGAAAACCGATGAAAATCTTTATAAAAATATGTCGATGCAAAGTCAACTCTTGTGTTAGATTTCTTATATAGGTAAATATAATAAATATATGAGGAAGGGTTTTAAAACGTTTTGTGTAAGCAATATTTAAGAAAAAAGTAGTTTTAATAAATTTCGACCATATCAATGCTAGTATATATTAACTGTGAACTATACAGATAAAAAGATTAAATTGTTCTAAAATCTTTGTGTAAAACACAAAAAATACCGAAAAGAAGTTTCACTTTCAACGCGCGTCTTCAATCCGAGTACACACACATTGGGTTTTTTTTTTTTTTTAAGCTGTTCTGTTCTGTGTGATTTACATTAGTGTGCAACAAAATGAAGAAAACACACTCATAAAATTCTGAGCTGTGGTCAATCACTATGTTGAGCCACATTGGTCGCATAGAAAAAATGATTTCAGCCAAGCTGAATCCAGTTCAACAGGCAAAGTCTTGACTCTAACAGACCACATACTGTTAATATATTAAAGCAGAAACCTATTTAATCATGTCTAGGGTTTCCGGGTTTTAAAGTTATTTTAACAAATTTCTGCAGTAGTATTAGTCAATTGAAAATAGTTCTATCTAATCCGTAATGGTCGTATAATTTATTTGTTTATGTCTCCTAAACTTATACAATGTGACATAGCTCACAGTATGAGCTCATTTCCACACGTTGATTGACTATCGAAAGATGGATTGTTAAATAATATATCATGTGGCCTGTGGTGTATAATTATATATTCTGAATAATGCTAAACTACAATAACCAGTACAGTGAGGTCGGGGCATAGTAGGGACGGGGAGGTCACAGGCTTACAAGAATTTTTAAATTTGAAAGTGATAAAATCACTTTTGAAAAAACGCTTCGATGCAAATCGGTAGTTAGTAATTTTAAGCCAGTACAGTCCAAACCAAGCACAGTATAACCAGCAAAGTTAGAAAGTATTAAATTGAGCTGCTGTATTTACAAATAAGCATCAAAGTGTTCATTTGAAAGTGATTTTATCCGAGAGGACTAGTACAGTAGAGTATAGGCATAATGGAATCAAAGCAACGAGGGGACGGAGAGGTCACAGGTCTACAGGAATTATTATAAATGAATGTGATAAAATTGAATAAAATCACTTTCAAATAAACACTTTTATGCTTATTTGTAAATACAGCAGCTCAATTTAATTACTTTTTTACCTTTGCTGGTTATACTGTGCTTGGTTTGGACTGTACTGGCTTAAAAATACTAACTACAGATTTGCATCGAAGCGAATAGCCTAAGAAAAATAAAATATTCGAATGAACTATTTAATCATAATTTTTATTTTATTAAATTGAATAATAATTACTCGAATGAAAACAATTACTCGACGGTCATTCGAATAAAAAAAAACTATTTAGATAAAAATTTATCCAAATAATGCCCACAACTCTGCTTGCTGATTTCGATTAATCCGATTGCAAAACTCTGATTTGAGATAATATTTCTAATTAGTGTATTTAAAAACGATTTTTTTTTAATAGCTTAAATACTCATATTACCTGTTAACTTGACGTATTGTCAGATTCGTATACGTTACTAAAATGAACAATAAATGTCGTGTAAAATATTAAAAGACAGCAATCTTTTAATATAAAATGTCGCCCATTTCCTCCATTGTCTGCATTTATTTATTTAAACAAATTAATATTCTTTAGCCGAGTAAATAGTTTATAACAGATGCAGGTTTTTTAAATTTATTATAACTGATAGTGATAAAATCAGATGCTGCTCTGCGACTTTGTATAGTATGGTAAAAATATATATAATTGATGAACATAATTTTAAATGCGACAACGAGCCTATTATTATTATTTTAGTTTAAAACATACATTATAAATTATAACTATATAGTGGTATGTAGTAAAATATATCCATTAGAAAATAAATTAAGCATTAAAATGTACAGTATTTATTTGATGTTGACCTGTACACCAATAACGCTAATTCAGTAATTCAGTAATCGTCTTACTGCTTAATTCTATACAGATCCATTAGGGCAACTATAAGTGATCTATTTTTGGATATAGTCATTGATCTCTAAGGTTGTATATTACAGATATAACCACTAGTACAGCTTTAATCATAATTAGATATAGTCACTTATATTGACTAATAATCCTATTAGGAGGTATTGGCTAATATTATCTTTCTAGTGTGGGTTAGTCCGCTGGTTGTGATAGAGTTTCAAAGGACTAAGAGGTACTGATCATTGTCACAATTAATTTAAAAAACACGTGTTTTTTCTGAAGTATAAAAAATTGTGATATCTATTCAACGCCTTGGCAAAAATTTGATTAAAGAATTTATTAAACGGTGACGCCCCCCAACCCTTAATCAGTTCTTGCTGTGCTAGTGTTTTGCTCTTTTATGACTTAATAATTATACAATTAAAGTATTGATTATAATAGTTTATTAGTTAATATAGTTCTAATGATATTGAAACATTTAGTTAATAAAACGATGATTTCAACTAAAATACAATAGTAACATCAATATGCAATTAAATTTACTCGTCGTCTGAGGAGCTTGATTCTACTTGTGTATTGTCTGTCCAAGGTATGAGTACTCCGTCTGGGCCACTGAATAATGTTTTATAACAGCTTCCATTGGTGTCTAATTGATCTCGATATATCTCCACCGCAGGTGGTTCCATATACAACATTCTTCTGTCAGGTAATCCTGACAAGTTGGTAAGAAACTGATGTGAAGTTACAACACAATTTCCGTCATCAGTACATTCTTGTTTATTTATTAACCGATAATTTAGTGTACGCTTGATTAACCCGACCAATAAACATTTTTTGCCTTCGTCATTCACGCACATTTGGGCGTCTTCTGAAACCAATCGTGAAATAATATAAATTAATGACAAGAAATAATAATAAAAAAGACACACACACACACAGTAAATTTATCCACTCCACAGAAAAACATTGAATCATTTTTTATGTTTTTCTCTAATATGCATTTGAAAAGTAGCAATAAATATTATAAAAATACTTACTTAATCTGTCATGAAGAACATAGCGAAATGTTGAATTAAAAATATTTCTTCTTGCCTTTATCTCGATGGCATAAGTCTTGTCGGCTATAATATCATACACATTATGTAATATGTAAATTATGGATAAGAGTTTTCAGCTTTTTCAATAATCGATCATTACTAATATAGTCTATTTTAAGTAAATTGTACAACTGTAATGTTTACGCAAAATATACCTTAAATGCTTTGGAGAACACAATTATTTAAAATATTTATTTACCCGTATAGATACTATTTTATAGTGCACATTGTAAACAGTATGCATGATACTGAAATCCAATTTGACAAATTATAATTGAATTTTCAGATAATAACTAAAACATTTATAGTAAACGTTTTATACCACCATTATTAAACGTAAACCATTATAACGTTTATTAATTTGAATTTGATAAATCCAGATATTATTTCTATTACTAGTACATAGTAGTAGGTGCCCTAGTCTCGAATAAAACTTACGGATAGTAACTATTACAAAATATAACATGTGCTATACTTACGAGGAAATTCATAATTTAGCACATCTGTAATAAAACAACAATAATTTTAAACTAGGCATTTAAAAAAGGTGTGTACATCAGATTTGATATAAAATTAAAATTTAATTATCGTTTTAAATTATAACCATTCATAAAGTTCTTAGTAGTTGCAAGAGATATAAATACGCTTGTCGAGTCTTGTATGTTGTACTTAAAGACAAGTTATATTTTAAAGTTAAGATAAGTCGACAAGTATTATAAATAAACAAATATATTTTGCTAGAATAATGAAACTTAGTTACTAGAGATTCTTATTAATTCCGCTCGAATTGTCATTTCTCTGTCGTATATTTTTTGATATTCTGAAGCTAACTCTATAATAAAAATATTTAATTTCCATTAAAATTTGTTATTAAAATATTATGTAAAATTTCACGGCCTAACTATTTATTATTACTTGAAGTTTATTTTTTTGCTAAAATAATTATCTCTTATTTAGGTAAGATTAATTAAATTAAATAATGATTGGTCACCGATAACGAGTTTTAAATTAATATAAAATTGAATGATAATATTTTTTTTTATACAACTAAAAAGAAAAAAATGAATAACTGAAATAATAACATTTTATTAGAAATTTGTTTAAAGTTAAGACCGTTGTCTTATAAAAAAAAATGTATACAATGGTGATATTTTAAAATTATTATCTATCTTAATATATATATGTTTTTTCGAAGCTAGGTAAAAAAAAATGAAATAACTTTAAATCGTTAAATGAATTAATATCGAAAAAATTATGTCACAAATAAACTTCATTAATACAGTACTTATTTATAGTTATCAAAAATATTACCGTTTTCATTCAAGACTCCCAACAACTCAATATCTATAAAAAAAATAATATTTAAAGAAGCGCCGCATCCCCTATTTATTTAAGGCCTCTTTTAGCAAAATAATAATTGAAAAATACATCTATTGGTGCAGCAAATTTGCTTTGATACAAATCTACCAGTTTGCCATATTCATTGGAAAACCAAAACATTTAGAAGAAATACAATTTATGGTAAAACTTTATCTCTAGTATTAATAATTAAAATTACGGTCATGTGGCGACCTTTGAATAGATTTTTAGTTATAACTGAACAGTAATAATAAAATAAAAACATTCAAATACACGTTAGCACTACAGAAAATACACAAAAACTATTGACGACCTATGCATTATTTAAACTAACTAAAATTGAAATTACATAACTGAAAAAAAACTTTTATCTTAACAACATAAGCGGTATCGCCTGTTGATATAAAACCTATTATAGTTTACCTGGCGGGTGAATGATTCCAATTAATCCCTCTGAAATAAAATACAAAACATTTGTTGGTTAAAAAAAGGTATAGTACATATGGGCAGAATTTAACTGTTTCTTAGGCACCATATAATATTGGTCTTATTTTATAGTACAAAGAAAATATTCAGTAACCAATGACAAATAATACCCTACTATTAGTATTGTGTTGCACTTTAAAAAAATATAATAATGTACAAATAATAATACCATATCCGAATGTGGGCAAGAGATATTCTAGCAAATCGATTTTTTGATCTGAAATGCATGTACATAAAACAATTTATGATTGATTTCGTTAAATAAACTTTAATAATTATTATTGAACATCTAATTAAACATTAAGACAAGATGGGTAGATCCCAGTCAATAATTTTAGAGGAGTCTGAAGAAGTTTGCAGTGGTCTAACAAGGGTGTGTTATGTATATTGATAGTAAAGACACTTTTCACCACTAACGTGACTTATAAATCATGAAAAACCAAGCACAGTATAAACCAGCAAAGTTAGAAAGTTTTAAACTAAGGTTCTGCATTTACAAATAAGCATCAAAGTGTTAATTTAAAAGTGATTTTGTTCAATTTTATCACTTTTGTTTAAAATAATTCCTGTAGACCCGTGTGACCCTGTAGACCTCTCCGTTTCCTCGTTGCTTTGATTACATTATGCCTATACTCTACTGTACTAGTCCTCTCGGATAAAATCACTTTCAAATTAACGCTTTGATGCTCATTTGTAAATACAGAACCTTAATTTAAAACTTTCTAACTTTGCTGGTTTATACTGTGCTTGGTTTGGACTGTACTGGCTTGAAAATACTAACTACCGATTTGCATCGAAGCGTTTTTTCGAAAGTTATTTTATCACTTTCAGATTTAAAAATTCCTGTAAACCTGTGACCTCCCCGTCCCCACTATGCCCCGACCCCACTGTACTGGTTTTTTTTTTGCAAAAACTTAGTGGACCAAATAACACATATACAATGTCTTGTTAAATGTTGTTGGAATGGTCGACGATTCATGTTTCAATCGTTTGTACTCCATAGTTAAATTATAATCGCTTGTTCTCAATAAAATTAATATTTATGTATTATATACTTCCATTAAAGCAATCTAACACAAACTATTTATACTTCACAGATTATATTATTTCAAAGCTATATTATACTTCTATTTTACTAGATTGACAATGTATAAAATAAAATGGAACTAAAAAAACCTTTTCATAGATCCTTAAAATGTAAAGGGTGGGGTAGTGAAACGGGTTTTCCCATTTAAATACATTAGAAAATCGCCTTTTTATTGGCCCACCCTGTATATTAATTTCTTGTTTTTTTCTAAAGAAAAGTTGAGTTTCTTACATTTAAATTAAAATTACATCGTATACTGGTACTGTGATGGAGAAATGGATAAATTTTACCTACATATATTACGTATTAGTTAAATATTACTAACGTTTATAGCCACTAGCGGGCGGCTGTTGCCTGTTATTTAACAATAACTTTTTATGGAGATTTTAAAAATTGGGTTTTTTTAATAATAGTATAGGAGCAGTATCATAATGTTAAATGTTCGCGAGATTTGATATAGTCATAAAATAAAGTATTATCATTCATGACTTAGTTGTTATTAAAATATATTTTAATTTGAACATAGTAAAAATGAAATATTTTATACAAAATTAGAACTACAAGTTGATAAACTAAAAAACTAAAACTATCACGAAGCAGATTATTAACAATATGCAAAACATTAGTGTTCCTTTAAAAAAATTGTGTAATATAAAATACTTTTTGGGGCGGTATACTGCATAAAAACCAACACTTAATCTGAATCCAAAAAACAACAGTCCTCTTCATAATTTGCAGGTAGTTGGACCTTATATACTCATAATTGACCTTCGGTACAGTAATATAACGCGTGCGTTAAAATAACGAGATAACGACAGTGGTTTTGTCGTGTCAGAATCATTAAGTGTCTTAATAAGTACACGAATAGGTTTTTTCCCAGCAAATCGTGTATCTACTATAATCAGTTACACGATTTAGTCGTCCGTGATATCATGTAATAAATACAATATTATGATACCGACCATTGGGTCCTAACCTAACCTAACACGGGTAGACGTTACCAACTGACAGTTTTTAAAGTTTGTTCGTTTCTCACATCTGGTACACCGACTTGTTACCTCCCCCAAAGTACCAACTAGATGAAATTTGTGATTTACAGGGTTGCTATTCGAAGGAATTGGTCCAGTATTAAATAAGTTACAGTGTATACAGATAAAAAAAAAACACACATCAGAGTAAAACCAATACCTTCTCGCTTTGCATCGAAGCTAAAAATGTATAATATGAATTTATTCAGTTATATGTTACCAGTAGTATTTGTACATTATTTTTTAACTGTTTTAATTTTTAAAATACAAATACTGTATTATTTCCCAAGTAATTTTAGACAGTAATCGTTATCACATCTTTATCATATGTCACCTAGTAACCGTGATAACCCGTAAACTGACAAAGTGAACTAATAAAAGAAATTACAGTAAATCCACATCAAAAACTATATTATTTTCTAACCGTCATTTTCTATTCGCAAAAGAATTTCCATTTTTAAAATTCACCTTTAAATAACCAAAACCAATCAATGTATTAAAATAAATTATACGGAAAATCAATTATAAATTTAACGTTACAGAACGGAGTTTTAACTGAATACTAATAATGAAAGACATTTTTTTTTAGTACCTGGAAATACTAAACATGTTTACTTAAGATTACAGAATCTTACACCATTTACAGAAATGGTGTCATTTAGACTGACCTTGTTTTTTTAGATTATTATTAATGCACAACTTCATACTTTTGGTAAAGTTATTATTATTTTTTTTTAAATTACATTATACTATATTAATAATTATAGAAAAACTCACCATCATTCAATTTAAAAAATCTATAGCCTAAAAACAAAACGAATTTTACATAATAAACATAATAAATGTTTTAGTATTGGAAGACTGTAATACTGTGAAATTATTACACTATTGTTAGTAAATTATTCTTTTGTACTTTTTTTTTTTTTTTGAAGACATCTGGATTTAACCGAATAGGTATATTATTTATTTATACTATATTACATTATAAAAGCATTTTTTAGCACCATTGTTAAAATATTAGTTTCATTCACACAAAAGTCACTTTACTTTAATTATAACTGAATAATATTCATTTTAGCATGGAAAATATTTTAGCCTTGGCCCCCAGCCCGAAAACGACACTAAATTGCGATACTTAAGTAGCACAATAACTAAGCAACAAGATTATTATTATTATTTAAATTTGCTAAAAAAAATTGTTTAGATGTGAAATGAAGAAAAATAAAGGTCAAAACACAATTCGATAATGACATAATTGAACAGTCAATTAGTTACTTATTTTGGCGTAACGTTACCAACTGCTCAAATAATTAAATATAAAAATGAACTCACTGTTACGGGAAATCAAATGGATGCAGTCTGAAATGATTGTAAAATCATTTGTATGTAAAATATGAAATTAACACAAGAAATATGAATTACACTTATTGGCAATGTTAATATTATATGAGGAGCTCAGATGTCAACTCTATGTCTTAACTCCATAAAATAAAATTTTTCAGGACAGGCAGTTAAAGTTATTTGAACCAAGTATGTAAGTACAATTGCCAGTGTATTTAGCGCACTCTAGTGGTGAAACATTCAACTATGGAGTTATTTATCTTGGCCGCTGAAAATTATACTCTTTTGTAATCCAACCATGCTATTATTTGCAAATGGGAAAAAAATGGAGTTAATCGGTTTGGTTTCTGAGCGCCTCATATTTGACGGTTAAATTATGTAGAAATGTTTTAAATAATAGCTTGTGTAACTTATAATATCATAAAACCATTAGTTCAATAACTATAATTATGAAAAATGTAATACAAATTATTAAATTTTTAAATTTACCTTCTTCGGTTTTTGCGCATATTGTATTGTTTATAACAATGCAAATAGTTAACACAAACAAACAAAAAACGTGTAGCTTATTGTTAGTCATTTTCAATCGATATCTAAAAAAAAAAAGTTTAATGAATAAAATATTTATTTCACAAAATATAGATTTTAGATAGAAATTGGATTGCAAAATCCTGATTTTGGATGATATTTCGAACTAGTGTATTTGAAAGCCTTTTTTTTTAAACAGTTTAACTACTCATAATACCTGTTAGCTTGTCGTGTTGTTGGATTTGTATACGTTACTAAAATGGAAAACAAGTGTCAGTGCTGTGAGCTACCTTTAATTTAAAATGACGCTTATGCCTTGGGAATGTACCTTCTGTACAAACATGACGTGCGTAGTAATTTATAAAACAGTTACATTACATCTTATCGGAATATTTTATAAAAAAAAATTGGATACAGAAAAATAAAATAACAATTTAAAAAAAATTGCAGTAATTACAGACTGTAGATATTATTTTAAATAATAGTGATAATACCATTAGCTAAGAAAATAATAATAAACAACCCAATCTAACCTCACCTTAAGGGGCCTCTAGATTTATTGAAGCGTCCTGTATAGGTACGCACTTTGTCAATAAAACTTAGCGTTCAACCAAAATGTGTTAACTCATAATATTAACACAGCAAAGCGGTATCTTTTTTTTTTACACCTTTTTTTCTAACGCGTTAAGGCTATGTGCTTGCTCGAAAAAAAAATTATGTTTCTACTTATAACAGTAGATATGTTCCTAATAATAAAACTGTTTTAGATTTAAAACAATATTTTAATTCTTCATTGGACGTCCTCCAATATAATGAATATAGAGGCTGCTGTAAGACACTTTAAAATCACACCTCCCAAAATATTGTTACCAAAATGGAAAAAAATTACAATGACCTTAAAATATCATTGTATGATAAAAACCAATAATGTTTTACATGGGTCGTTTGTTTCATAATTTTAGACAATTTTCAATAAGTCAGATGGGCTATAACATGATGACCTCTTCTTAACACTTATTTTAATGTTTTAGATCAAATTTTTTTGAACTTTTGGTGTTGGTAGATAAATAATTAAAAACACAAATAGTGGAGTGTAATATTTCTTTTTCATCATCTTAATTTGGGGTAACGTCAAATCGAATCTCACGCGGACATGTGTCAAATGAGTTATGTTAAAATGTCTTAGACTGTTAATTTGTAATTTCTTATTTCTATTGATTTCTAACTTCTTTCCTTTATCCGCCCTTGCTGTGGTAGTGTTAATGCTATTAATAAATATACAATGACAGTATTGATTGTTATAGTTTATTAATGAATATCATTTTATTGATATCAAAACGTATAGTAGATAAAACAATAATTTAAACTAACATACGAGCAACATAAACATTCAATTAAATTTACTCCTCGTTTGACGGACCTGCACCTGGCACTTCTTGTGTTTTGCTTTCCCAAGGTATGAGTTCTCCTTGCTCTGATTGGAATAATGTTTTATATCCTTGTGTGGTGTCATAGACATCTCGAAATAACTCCACTGGTGGCAAGTCTCTAACAGCGTTGCCACTGTCCCTAAGCCATACTAACGGAATTATAATGCAAGTACCGTTATCATTACATTCTGCTTTGTTTTTCAACTGATAATTTAGCGTGAACTTGATTAACCCGACCAATACACATTTAATGTTGTTTTCCACGCACATTCGATCGTCTTCTGTAACATTATAACATAATTGAATAGAAGAAAAAATTATTAAATTTTATACATTTATAACGAAGTAATAAAAACTGAATAATAGGGCGGCTAGACTTCAGAGTCGGGGCCCTTAAACCTGATTTTTCAATTAAAATAAAAAACATGTTTCTACACTCATTCAAAAGCCTTTTTCCAATATTTTTATATTAAAACAATTTTTGTTGGTGTTTACATATTATACCAATTACGCATAAGTTGAGTTATATAGCAATGTTTGGGTATGAAGAAGGATAACTGTACAACTATATTTTAGTTCTAAGCATTTTAACAGTAGCAATTAATATTATAAAAACGCTTACTCAATCTGTCATTGAGAATATAACGGAATGTTGAATTTAAATGATTTCTTCTTATCGCTCTCTCCGAGTCATAGGGAACTTCGCCTATAATACCATACATATTAGACACATTATGATAAATTATTATATAATTTATAGTAAAAGTTTTTAACACCGTTATCAAATGTATACCATCCTACGTTTATATTGTTTATTTAACATAATAATATAATTTAAGGGGATAAAATTCCAATCCGAAGAACCGGTTGATTTGTAAAATAGAAATTTGATAATTCCGGTTATAATTTTCATTCCTAGTACACAGTAGGTATACAAGTCTCCACAAATATATTCGGATAGCGACAATTACAAAATATAGCATTCAATATACTTACCAGTAAAACGAGGCAAGCTTTGTAACCCTATAATAATAAAAAAAAAAATGTTAAAAAAGTAAACATTTGGGTTGTAATGTTGGGCAGTAGATAAGAGAACTGAACAGAGAAAGAGAGCGGAGATGAGTATGCTAAGATGGATGTGTGGAGTGACTAGGGAAGATATAAATTATAATTTCAAATTATAACTAAAAAGAAAGTTTTTAGTAGTTGTATTAGGTAAAACCTTACCTAGGAGAGACGTCAACACAGTTTGAGGTTAGTAATGGACTAAGACAAGGGGATGCGCTTTCTCCTACACTTTTTAACCTAGCCTTGGAAAGAGTAATTAGAGAAACGCAAAAATGTAGGGAAATGGAGATGCTTGCAGGGAATACTTTGTTGGCATACGCTGATGACATCGTTATCCTCGGAGAATCTAAAGCTGAGTTAACAACAAGTACTCTTAATTTGTTGAAAAATAGTGAAAAAATAGGACTCCGAGTTAATGAATTTAAAACAAAGTATATGATTGTTACGAGAAAGCTGACAATTATGCAAAGTCTCGGGATTGGACAACATTTATTTGAACAAGTTGAAGATTTTAAATATTCGGGGGTTAATATAAACCAAAGAAATGACACGCACAATGAAGTTGGGCTGAGACTTGGTTCGGCAAATAGAGGATATCACACAATGAGAAGCATGTTGTCATCAAGATTACTATCAAGAAAAACTAAAACGAAGCTGTGTATAGCCTACCTACGCCCTATTGCGATGTACGCTTGTGAGACCTGGTCGACAACAAGAGGCGATGAACTAAAACTTCTAATATCCGAGAGGAAAATATCGAGAAAGATATATGGTCCCATGCTAAACCCGGAGTCAGGAAGTTATGAAAGAAGAAAAAATGAGCACACTGAGAGCGTTTTCAATGAACCAACCATACAAGCATGTCTGAAAGCTAAAAGGCTAGAGTGGGCTGGCCATGTATGGAGGGCAAAGGATAAGCTAATTCATAAAGTACTAATCAATAAACCCAACGGAAAGAGGAAGGCCCCGTCAGCGATGGCTCGATAGAGTAAACAAAGATCTGGAAAGCTTGGGAACAACAAAAATTGAAGATGCGGATGATCGGGAACTGTTGGGGGACGTGGTGAAAGCGGCAAAAGGCCTTCAGGGCATGTAAGCCAAAAAAAAAAAAAAAAATAGTATAAGTTTTAAAAACACCGTTATCAAACGTATACCATCCAACGTTTATATTGTTTATTTAACATAATAATGTAATTTAAGGGGATAAAATTCCAATCCGAAGAACCGGTTGATTTGTAAAATAGAAATTTGATAATTCCGGTTATACTTTTCATTCCTAGTACACAGTAGGTATACAAGTCTCCACAAATATATTCGGATAGCGACAATTACAAAATATAGCATGTCATATACTTACCAGTAAAATGAGGAGATCTTTGTGACCTTAAAACTAAAAAAAAAAAAAAAATTGTTAAAAGAGTAAGCATTTGGGTTGTAGTGTTGGGCAGTAGACAAGAAAACTGAACAGAGAAAGAGAGCGGAGATGAGTATGCTAAGATGGATGTGTGGAGTGACTAGGGAAGATATCAATTATAACTAAATTTTAAATTATAACTAAAAAGAAAGATTTTAGTAGTTGTATGAGATAAAAATAACCTTGCTATCTTAAAGCTACTAAAATAACAGTAATTTAAGGTAACCCAGAGTCTTAAAACATTAAAAGTCTTGACTACAGTTTTCTATTGGACATAATATATGAACAGTTACCTAGAATTTGTCTCAATTTTCTTTGTATTGCCCTTTCATTGTAGTACATTTTTGAATACATCGAAGCTGTAATCAAAACATCAAATTTCTAATAAAATTTGTTTTTACATTTAAAATGTCTCGGCCTACCTATTTATTATTTTTTACAACATAATTGTTTTAGCTAAAATAATTAAAACTCATTTGAGCAATAATAATTTAATAGAGATGATGGCCACCGAGAACCAGTTTTCAATCAAACTTGTTTATTTGTCAGTTTAAAGCGTTCAAATTGTACAAGTTACAAGTTTGTTTATGAAGTATTTAAACGTTAATAACTATTCACATACTAACGTATGTAATTATTATACAACAAAAAAAAAACAAATATATACATGTTCCTTAAAAATTAATGATTAACTAAAAACTACTTAAAAGAAAAAAATTGATCATTTACAAAAATAACATTCAAATCCAAATCTAATACTAATAGAAACAAATAATCGTTAAATCAATTAATATCGAAAAAAATACATAACAACTTAACTTCATTAATATAATTGTTATTAATTATTATTTAAAAAATTACCGTTCGCAAGCAAGCCGCTCGATATTTCATCACCTAAAAAATATACTATATTTAAAGAGGTGACACATAAGCTATTTATTTAAGTGTTCGACAAAGGCCAATTTTATTTACATATTAGTATTCACGCCTTACAAAAATTTTAATCACCTGATGGTATTATAATAACGTATTATAGTTTACCTGACGGGTAAATGAATTCCGCTATTCCATCTGGAATAAATATAAATAATTTGTTTAAAAAAAATAACTATAGTGTACACTAACGCATATTAACGGGTTGCAATTAACGCTAATGAATTAATACAAATTTAACGGTTCCGTAGACATCATACTTTATTGAACCATTAAATGTACTAATATTGTTTGCAATGTGACTATTTTGCTCTTGAATACAAATTTATGTGCAAAACAATAATAGCTAAGTAAATATTATCTATCGGTTTAATAATATATTGTAAAAAAGGTTAAAACAAATAATAATATTAAATGTTCACATAATAATACCATATTCGTATTTAGTTATGAGATGTGTAACCAGTTCGTATTTTTCATCTGTAATCAAAGCACAAAAACAAAATATTATGAATGTTAAAAATGACACCTTGAATTAAGGGGATTGATAGAGGTCTGGTTTAAGAAGCTTTTTTTAGGCAATATTTAAAAAAAAAAAGGTTTTAATAAGTTTCGACCATGTCAATTAATTGTTCGGTTAATTTATACAAGCTTCTAGGTATTGTTTTTATTTTAAACAATTTTTTCTATGAGTAAAAGGCATTATGGTTTATTTTAGACCAAAAAAAAGCCAGACAAAGTTTCGACTACACAAGATGATACAATTTCAATTTTGTAAATAGATTCGAGTTTATTAATGGCCAACTTCATAGTATATTACATACTACATTATTAATTATACAAACACTCACCATCGTTTAAAATAGAAATCATATGATCTAAACACAAAACAAATTTCGTATATTTAGAAAAAACCATATGCAGTGAGGTTAAAGCGATCATAAGAGACTGTGGGGATATAATGATTGAAAACTGCCTAAATAACTTGAAACAAAAAATAAACTCACTGGTAAGGAAAATCTGTCTGTGGCAATCTGGAATAATAGTATTATGGTAAGTTTGTAAAATATAAAATAAACATATATAAAGACGTATAAATTAGGTAGAACTATTGACAAACTTAATATTTTATTTGTCAGTTAATTTACATAGAAACGTTATAAATTATATTATAATATCTTAAAATTATTAGATCTATAAGTAAAAATAAAAAATTGTATAAATAATTATTAAAATATGTATACATCCTTGCGTTACGCATTTTGTATTGTTTATGGAAATGCCAATAGTCAACATAAACAAACATAATACTTGTAGCTTAATGTTAGTCATTTTCAATAGATATCTAAAAAAATAACAGTTGAATGTCAATTTCAATAGTAATATGTAGTTAAATTTATAAAATATTAATTTTTTATCCGAATCATACATTTTGTGTATTGGTGGCAGATTGAATAATATTGATTTGAGATGGGTAATATTATGTCTAACGTGCGTATTCTTAAAACTATTTTTTATGTTTTAATAGCTTAATTAACTACTACCTGTTATCTTGTTGTGTTGTTGGGTTCGTCAACGTAAATGAACAAAAATATGATGGTGCAAAATTAATGTTTTTACCTTCTGTATAAAAACAGCGTAGATACTGATATTTTTCTGTGAACAAATAAACAAACTTTTAGCAGGCTAAAAAAATGTATAATAATTTATATTAGGACATTTGCTGAAGGTTGGGTACAGAAAAATAAAGTAATAATGAAAAATAACCAGCACAGTTGTGTCGGGTCGTCGTGTGGTCGACGAACTCAACTTAAGGCTGCAGAAATTATTATATAAACAGGTGATACAATTGTTTTTGTTAGATGTTTTTCATAAGGTATATAATTTATACATTTGTAAACGATGTTTGAACTAGTATTACAAAAACATTGAGATTGGTGCATTTGTATATGTATTTAACGCGGCCGTTCAACTAGTATGTAAGGTAAAAATAATGCGGGCGATATAATATAGGCGTTCAGTAAATACTAGGCAAATTTCGAGACATTTAGCATTTTAGATTTCATTGACATTAATTCTGAGGCGCTAAAATCGGAAACAAATTTTGAGCCAAAAAAATACTAATCCAAATCAAAATCTGTGCCAGTTACTTTGGCTTTGGCTTACTTAACTTAGTGTAGAAGAATTGATGTTTGTGTGTCCTGTGTCAGATACTTTGAGACTCAAGAGTAAAAAACACGAATGAAATGTCTAGAGGTCAAAATGTAAATAATGATGTTTAAGGTCTGAAAATCAGACTGATTAAAAATCTTGAGTGGGACATATAACACATTATACAAATTTCTCAATAATCCGTACTCTACCATTTTTTTTTTAATAAGGTAAAGCGTAAACTTAAAAAAAAAAAATGGAAAAAGCATACTTTGACTGAAACTAGTTAGGAACCCGGGAAGATATGCGACTTTATAGGTTTTTTTTTTTCAGTATCTGAACTTAAAATCGCAATCTTGTTTAAATCAAAATTTTTATGTAACATCTTCTCTGTATTAGGTACTCTATATTTTCAATATAAATCGTAACCTACAAAATATATACTTTAACTTCTTTGAATTGGTAGTGTCAATACCTACTTTTTGTCGATATTTGCAGTTAAACATATTTGTACGTGCTAGAGAAACTCAGTCGAGACGAAACTCATTCGAGGTCGAATTAAAAAAAAAATTGAAAAAATTTAAGAAGTTTTCCGGATGGGCGTAGAGTAGGCAACCGAACGTGCACTACCTGGGTGGCGCCGTATTGCTATGTGAATAGGCAACCACACCGACGCACACTGGGGCAAAAGGCCTCCGAAACTGGCAAAAAATAAATTTGAATTTAAACTACGAAAAATTTAGCAGCATGTAGTAACATTACCTTATTATATTATTTTTGTTTGTACGATAACACGGTCAAATAGGTCACGCTATTTTAGTAACATGATTAATTTATTGCTCGCGACCAAAATATGATATTATGGTACTTCTTCCCGGTCCTTTCACCGGGGCAAATATCGACGAAAAAAATGTTTTACATGTTGTTAATATTATTCCATTTTGTTTCTATTTTGAGATATTATCTAAATAATACATTTTTCAACTACGAAACCTTCGACGTCCGGTATGTAAATATTTTATTGTCCATTTTTTGTTTGAGATGATTTACAATTTATATTTTACAGATAGATTCTAAAAACGTTTAAAAGTTTTTAGTTATGTTCTGAAGTAGATCGTGTGCCGAACGTTTGTTTTTCTATTAACTATGAGTTACAATAAAATAAACAATAATTTTATTAGTTTATAAATAGTTCCGCATTTTATTGTATTATATTTTTTGCCAATTTTGGAGGTCTGTGTACGGCGGCAGATGATCGGATACCAAAAAGTGTACTCACTCGAGTGTGATTGTTTCACAACAGGATCGACCATCAATGTCGACCAGCACGTTGATTGAGTTGGACGTAATGTCACGGTGGATACAACAACAGGTGGTTTAGATAAAATGTATACTTATCGTGTATCGTTGCCGTAATGGCGGCACAAAACACAGGCGAACGGAGAAAAAGAAAAGTACAATTTTGAATTGTACGGTTTAAAAAAACGAAAAAAAAAAATGGTGCGCACATGACTCATGAGTATGCAAATCCAACAACAACAACAACACAACGGTAAATATAGGTATACCGCATAATAACCGAACATGATAGAGTGGATAGCATGACGACCTTTGTCATGCTGTCACGTTATAAACAGTACCTATTGATATTGTGCTGATCAAAATATCACTCAAATGCAATAACATTGTACAACAACGATAACGATAAATATAACATAAATATACGGGGCGGTATTCAGAATTTTTATGTTACACCTGATTTGTTGACCATATGAAAGTACTGTTTTGTTATTGTACGCTATAATAACAATGGTACAATGGCAGTATTGATTGTAATAATAGTTTATTAGCGAGTACAATTCATGTTGATATTGAAACGTTTAGTAGATAAAACAACAATTTTTAATCAATATACAAGCAACGTTAATATGCAGTAATATATTTTACTCCTGGTCCGAGGGGTCTTCTCCGGAATCATCTTGCGTTTCGCTATCCCAATATACGAGTTCTCCTTGTTTTCGTAGGAATAAAGTTACATGCCGTTGTACGTTGGGGAAATATTTATCTTGATATGTCTCTATTACTGGCGGAATTCTAGATAAAACGCCAGGTTCCGTAATCCACTCTGTCGAAGTTATAATGCAACTGCCGCCATTACATTCTGCCTCGTTCGTCAACTGATAATTTAGTGTGCGCTTGATTAACCCGACCAATATACATTTTTTGCCGTCGTCATTCTCGCACATTCGGTAGCCTTCTAAAACCATACAGCACAATGTAATTGCAAAATAAAAAAAAAATAGTTAAGTAATATAAATTAATGACAAGAAGTAATAAATAAACTTAAAAAGTTACTCCGGATCTAAGTCGTAAAAAAACATTTACATAACATGCTTTCGCTTGAATGGCGAGGTTGCTACTCGCTGGACTTTAAAGACTATAAGACTATGTCTTTGGAGTCCGGACATCTAAAATTCGATTTTTTTTATTTTCAAAACCACATTGTTCTACTCGTTTAAGAGTCTTTTTTCAATTTTTTTTTTTTTTTTTTTAAAGACTTTGTTTCGGTTAAGTTGTATTTGTATGACAAAGTTTGGTTTTAATGGCGTAACTAGACAACTAAGTTTTTGTTCTAAGCAATTTAAAAGTAGCAATAAATATTATAATAAACACTTACTCAATGTCTCATCGAGAAAATCGTTGTATGCTTTATTTAAAATGTTTCTTCTTTCCTTTACCTCCGATTTCCAGGAACCACGTTCGCCTATTATATCATACACACTATGATAAATAATAATGTCTTTGATTTTATTTTTAACATTAAAACATGTAAATTGTAGACAAGGATTTTCATCTTTTTTAAGTGACCATTATTAATATGGTCTATAGTCTATTTTAAGTACAATGTACAACTGTAATATTTACGCAAATACTGTCTTAATTATTCTGGAGAAAATAATTATTTGGAATACTAATATACCTTATATAAACCATTTTTTATGGTGCACATTGTACACAGTAGAGATGCTACTGAAATCCTAATTCGACAGATTATAACTGGATAATCAAATACAATTTGTTTTTAATTTTTTAATCAAAATTGTATAATACAGTTAAAAAACGTAAACCCACAAGTTTATAACGTTTATTTTAAACAGTTATAAATCTTACAAAGTATAACATTTATACTCACCGAAATGAACTGTTTGTTCTGCCCCTGTAATTAAAATAATTATTTTTACAACCAAGCGTTGAAAAAATGTATACATGCATAAATTATAAATCTTTATAAATTTAACATGACTATTGAAAGTTAAACTTGCTGAACCATATATTGTAATTAAAAAAGATATTAGAGCGAGAGCAACTATAAGATATCCATTTACACTAATTTATATCAATTGGGAAGGATGTGTAATTCACTCTACAAGAGAACTGAGTCGTCATAGGTCTAAATGATAGTAGGGGACATTTTTAGTTGGTCTGTAAACAATAACATTTTAGAATAATATAGGGAAATATCGTTAATATACAAAAGGAAAAGATTAGGAGCTAAATGAGACTCTCTTGAAGCATACCGGAAGCAGCTTTAAATATTTTAGAACAATAATTTCTATACTTAACAAATTTGACGCAGTCTGTGCAATACGAATAGAGCCACGATAGAGAGAGAGTTATATAGCAATAAGGAAAGTTAAGCTGGCGTATAACATCAGCCGGGAAGTTATTTCTACTAAAGGAACAGTTATTTAAGGCTTAGAAAAGTCTATGATTATTATGAATAAAAATATATTTTACAAGAATAATACAACTTTTAACACACCGTAGAATGCGTGTATAAGTGACCTTAAGTCTTAAAACAATAAATTACCAGTTACCTATGAGAGCTATAATATGCTTTCGAAGTTCCTTTTCAGTGGAGCATATTGCAGCGTATATTCCATCTATAATCAAAACATTGTATTGTATTTAATACAATTGATTAACTTCGTATTTAAATTTGTTATTAATTGTTATTACGTGTAAAATTTATCGGCCTACCTATTTTATATTACACATTTGATATATTTTACATTTCTTTTTTACTATAACTCCAAATAAATTGTTTTAGGTAAAATGATTTTTAAACTCATTTGGGCGAATAATAATTTAATAAAAATAATGATCGACCAACGATAATCAGTGTTTAAATAAAACAAATTATTTGTCAGTTTATAGCGTTCAAATTGTAATTATTACAAGTTGCAAGTCTTATATTAGTTAATTGAACGATAATAACCCAACGAGTATACAATTACACATCCCATACAATTTACACATTTTATTTGTCCCTTAAAAATTAATGATAATAACTTGACTACTAAAAAGAATAAAATTTGATAATTAAAATAATAACATTTTATTTGAAAAATGTTTTAAATCAACACTGTTATATATTAACAAAACAAATGTATACAATCATATTTTAAAATTATTAGCTATCATAAAACATACGTTTTTATTTTAAAGATAGGTAAAAATAATTTAATTATTTTTAAATCGCTAATAGAATTAATATCGAAAAAAAATAAATCACAAAAAGACTCAATCAATTTACATAGTTTTTATTAAATGTAAGGTATTATTTAAAAAATTACCGTTATTGTCTCTGTTTTCCAACAACTTAGTACCTAAAAAAGATATTATATTAAAAGAGGTGCCACATCCTCTGTTTAGTTAAACGCTCGATAAAGGCCACTTTTATCAAATTATTAATTTAAAAATACATGTTTTATTGTAGCGAATTTGCTTTGATAAAAATTTACCAGTTTGCCATATTTATAGAAAACTCGGGAAATGTAGAAAAAAAAACCATTTACTGTAAAACTACATCTCTAGTATTGACAATTAAAATTATGGACATACGGCGTTCTCTGAATAGATTTGTAGTTCTGACTGAACAGTAACTAACTAAAAAAAAAACGATATCACCTGATGGTAAAAAAAAAGTTTTATAGTTTACTTGGCGGGTAAAGGAACTCCGTCAATCCCACTGAAATAAAATAAGAATAATTTAAAAACTAAAAAAATTAGGGTTAATATTATACTTGCCGGTTACATGAACATTTATGAATCAATAAAATTTAAACGGTTCCTTAGACATCATATTTGATTGACCCAATAAGTGTACTGATATTATGTGCAATGTGGTTAAAAGACATATTGTTTATTTTGCTATTAAATACCAATTTATGTGCAAAACAATAGTAGCCAAGTTAGGTTAGGTTAGGTTAGGTTTTATTTTATAGTACAACGAAAATAGTTGGTAACCAGTAGCAAATTAATACATTACATATTATTGTATTGACAAGAAGATTGCTCTTAAAACAAAAATAATAATAATATACAAATAATAATACCATAATTGTTTTCCTTTATGAGACCTTCTATCAGTTGATATTTTTGTCCTGAAATCAATAGTCCAAAAAAAAAAACATTAATGAAAACCCTTAGTTTAATAATTATTCAATAATTAATTAAGTATTAAGGTGAGGTATGCAGAACACGAGTAGGAAAATCTAAATAGTAAAAATCTTAAAAAAAAATTGGTTGGTTAAAAATTGTTTTTATTTAATTCTAATATACTATATATAACTGATTATACAAACACATACACACCATCGTCAAGATCCCTCATTAGATTGTCTAAAATCAAAATGAGTTTTGTATAATTAATAAAAATAATATACAGTGAACTTGACATACATATATATATATATATAATACCAACATATAGGTGTGTTTATTCTAATTGAAAACAATAAAATTTCTTAAAAAAGAAAAGCTTCCATGAACTCAAGAAAAAAAATGAAGGCTGAGTCACCGGTCTACAGGAATTATTATCTATCACGAATCTCTAGACAGTAGGTTCAGACTAGTACGGTCCAAACCAAGCACAGTATAAACCAGCACAGTAAGGAATTATTGTACATAAGCGAATAGTAGTATTATTAGTAAGTGAATAAGTAAGGTCAAGTGAAAACTACAAATATCGATAAAATCATTGTACCCAAAGACATTTATGTGCTTAAAAATCGATTTTTAGTGTTTTGGATGGATACGATTAGGGTTGATCATCTGTCTATAAAAATGTATTGCCATAGTTACCCATGTATCGTACTTAACAACAAAATAAAAATATTTTCATTACCTGTTGATTCACTCACACATAGCAATCGCGTAATTGACTAAGGTCAAAGTTTAATTACCCCTTTTTCGGGGTTTTCCTTAACAATAAAAAGTTTGAACACGGATTTTTCCAGAAAGTTGTATATGTTATAGTTAAATTCTAGATCTACCTTAGGTCTAATTTCCAGACCTTAATTTAATTCCGACTATTTTTCCAACAGTCCCTATTTTTAAATGGCCTAGAAGGTGTTATATTAAATTTTAAATGTCGAAAGGGGGGAATTTGATGAATGGAAATTATAGATTAAAAAAAATAGTTTTATCTAACTTGCATGAACAAGCTATATGTAAAACATAGCGCAACACAGAATTAGATAATGACATAAATGAATAGTTTTTCAGTTAGTATCTTATGTCGTAATGTTACAAATTTCCAAAATAACTTCTAAATAACTTCCAAAAAAATACTCACTTACATCATAAATCATCCACCGACATTCTGGAATAACAAATTGTAATATCATAATTTTGTAAAATATAAAATTAATTTTGATAAGGCCAAGTACAAAAAAAACTTCTGGATTTCAGTACAAAAGACTTCAAAGTTGGTCAAACATAATGTTTTCGGGGGCTTTAATTTTAAATTTAATTCCAGTTTTCTAATATACAAATTTAAAAAACTAAAAATCGTACATAAATTTAATAAGATCACTTCAAAATGTACAACGTGTTTATGTTTTAATTTACAATACCTAAAAAAACGCAGTTTTTTGGCAGTTAAAACAAATTATTTGTCTCGATTTTTTTCCAATTTTATAAGTTGTTATAGATCTCATAGCTATCTATAAAAATTCTACCTTCTAACTAATCTTCAACTAAAAAGTACTATAATTGCGAATTGAAAACACAAAATACAGATAGCCTTCCGCCGTGACGGGGTTGGGAAATAGTTTTAATTTAAATTTGAGGCTATTGGCGTGTGAACTTTTTTATCTTTCAAACCTTCCCCTCCTCCCAAGGGGCAAGATACCAAATATATAAAATATGTAAACTATAGAGTTACTACTCGAATAAATTTGTACAGTGGGTACAGACTAAAAAAAAAAAACACAAAATTGTAAGACCAATAGTATCTAAATTCCACATCGAAGCTAAAAAAAAAAAAAATAATAAAAAATAATTTAAATATTTAGGTTATACCACTTCGCGTTTCGCATTTTGTATCGTTTCTAACAGTGCAAATAGTAAACACAAGCAAACATAATAACACTTGTAGCATGTTGTTAGACATTTTCAATTGATATCTAAAAAAAAAAAATAGCCGAATGTCAATTTCAACTATACGAGTAGTTAAATTAATATATATATATATATATATATATATTAATTTTATAAAATTACAGAACCGTAACATGGACAAAAATAACAATATTAACATCCGTTTGGGTACTGTACACGAGAAGTAGAAAATATAGTATTTTTGTTTCTAGATATTGTTCTTAAAAAATGTCTATCCGAAATATTTTGTTTCTATCCGACGATATTGTATATTTACATTTCCTAAACTTTAAGTAGGGCTTGTCTACGGTAGGAATTAAGTAATTTGCCCCAGTTATTGCCAAAAACGTTAAATATATATTTTACATTTTCATCAAAGAAAGTCTTTCGAAGTTCTATTTACATTCATGTAGTCCATATGGCCATATCATTTTGACAAGTAGTAAAATTCGATTCTGTGACAAAAATCAGCATTAATGTTTTTACACTCAGCCCAATTGAACTTTATCCGTTTTATAAAACTAATTTGGCAGTTCGACCCAGACCGAGATAAAAATATATTATTAAATTTTTATCCGAATCATACATTTTGTGTATTTATGGCAGATTGAAAAATATCGATTTGAGATATATAATATTATGTCTAACGTGCGTGTTCTTAAAACAATTTTTCATTTTTTAATAGCTTAATTAACTACTTATATTACCTGATATGTTGTTGTGTTGTTGGGTTCGTAAACGTAAATGAACAAAAACATGATGTTGTTGCAAAATCAATGTTTTTACCTTCCGTTTGTTTTTTAACACGTATTTTTTTTTTACATGACGTAGATAGTGATATTTTTTTTTGAACATAATATAAAAAACTTTTAGCAGTTGAAGTAAGTTTCAAGTTACTTTTAGTAAGTTCAGAGTACGTGTTATGCTCAAGCGACTCACATTGGTATTACCTTATGCCTTTCGAAACTATTGAAAAAATATACATATACAGTGTAATTTTTTTATCATGGGCCACTCAAAATCTTATAGGGTTTAATGAGAAATTAAAATGTTTTTTTTCATATTGTTTTTATACAATGTGATCACAATTTTTCACAACTTTTTTTGATTTTACCCAACTTAGTTTTCTTGACAACAACTTTTGAATTTTAACTGGTCGTTAACCAGTTTTGGATAACTATTTTTGAAGTTATTGAAGTTTCAAGTTTAGGGCAAGAGGAAAGGTGGAGTGTAGTAATCTGTTTTATCTGCTCGCACTTCCCCTCTCATCCTAACATTTAAAATCTTATAATTTTGAAAATAGTTGTCCAAAACTGGTTATCAACCAGTCGAAATGTTTAGTACATTTATTAGAAATTTAAAATGTCAATAAAATATATGCGTTACCATTTAAGTTTTCAAAGCTGCTATCAAAAAACTAAGTTGGGGGGGGGGGGGGTAAAAACAAAAACCTTTTTGAAAAATTGAGATCACATTGTATAAAAACAACATGAAAAAAAAATTAAATTTCTTATTAAACCCGGTGAGGTATTGTGTGGGCCATAATAAAAAAATCCCCCTGTATATATATAAATATATATATATATATGTTAGGGTGGTCCTTAAAAAGTCAATTTTAGAAATTTAACCTCGACGCCCCCTAAAAAGTTACTAAATACAATAAAAATAAGAATAAAAAAAAAACAAATTTGAAAAATATTAATTTTCACCCGTGGGTTGAAGCTTAAATCCCATTTAAGCTTAAATGGGATTTAACATTGTCAAAATTGCTACGAGAAAATAATTTTTTCCGATAACATTCTAGATAATGTGCCTGGAGGATGTCGCTTGGGCCAGAAATCTAATATTTGAGTGTATCATCATTTTTGGTAACCGAGTACAAAAATGAACAGCCTCAACTAGGTCTTATACGATGTTCAAAATAAAGTTAACAGTGATGTAATAAGTTTAAGCCACAATCCTAGCAAAATAAACATTTTTGGCAATACTGTTATCATCACATAACGTTATCTGCTGTCCCCACCATATTCTTTGGGCATCAGTCATCACCCGGCGGTCGGGCTGACCTCTAAATTTCTAAGTTAAAATTATTTTCTTTAATATAAAACGTAAGACAATCCCATCTTTTTGTGTTCTCTCTTGTTTGCAAATTAGCTAAAAGAGTGCTAAAAAACGCTATTTTTTTGTTAAATTTTCATTTTCTGGCAGCAATTTTGACAGATATGAAATTTTGGGTATGGTGTACGTGTTCAGCAGACTCCAAGCAATAAAGCCATCAAAACTTCAGCTCAAACTTAAGGGTAGGAAAAAAAATGTGCATTGATTTGTGCACAAGTGTCGAAATCCTATGTCATATCCCATTTAAACTTTAACCCATGTGGAGCACGGGTTAAAATTAATTATTTTTCAATTTTTTTTTTTTATCTTGTTTTTAATGTATTAGATACTTTTTAGAGGGCGTCGAGGTTGGAATTTAAAAAATCGAATTTTTATGAACCACCCTAATATGTATAATATATAATGAAACATTTTTAATTTTTAATTAAACAACAATATTTGAAAGGGACGAATGGTGCAGTGTACTATTGTCCAACTTTAAAGGGAATCTTACACAAACATATTATGTCACATGATCGTTAAAATATTCTAGACCGTTAATTTTTAATTTATTATTTATATTGATTTGTAATTTCTTCCCTTAGTTCCGCCCTTGCTGTGGTGGTATTCTGATATTGTCTGATATAATAGTTATACAATGGCAGTATTGATTATAACAGTTTATTAATGAATACAATTTAATTGATATCAAAACATTTACTAGATAAAACAATAATTTAAACTAGAACACAAGCAACGTCCATATGAAATTAAATTTACTCCTCGTCTAAGTGGTTTTATTCGAATACCAATAATGTTTCATAACATCCTTCTGTGGTGTCATAGACATCTCGAAATAACTCCACTGGTGGCAAGTCTCTAACAGCGACGCCACGGTCCCTAAGCCACATTAACGGAATTATAGTGCAAGTACCGTTATCATTGCATTGTGGTTTATTTCTCAACCGATTATTGTTTGTGCGCCTGATTAACCCGACCAATGCACATTTCATGGTTTCGTTGTTCACGCACATTTCAACGTTTTCTATAACAATATAACATAATTGAATAGAAGAAAAAAACATAAAAAATTATACATTCATAACGAAGTAATAAAAACTGAATAATAATTAATAATGGGGTGGCTAGACTTCAGAGTCGAGGCCTCATGAAACCTATTTATAGTTTGAAACCAAAAACGCGGTTCTTTGAAAAATAAATACACTCATTCAAACGCCTTATTCCAATATTTTTATGTTAAAACAATTTTCGTTAGTATTTTTATAATATACTGATTACGCTTAAGTTAAGTTATACAGCAAGGTTTGGATATGATGATGTAACTACACAACTATATTTTAGTTCTAAGCATTTTAAAAGTAACAATAAATATTATAAAAACGCTTACTCAATCTGTTATTGAGAATATTACGGAATGTTGAATTTAAATGATTTCTCCTTATCGCTATCTCCGAGTCATAGTCTCCACCCACGCCTATAATATGATACAACTTTTGATAAATAAAGTTGTCATTAATTTTATTTTTAACATTAAGGTTATACTATGTTAATTATAGACAAGAATTTTCAGCTTTTTCAGCTGACCATAATTAATAATTTGGTATATTATTCTACGTACATTATACAACTGTAATACTGTAATAACGAAAATACTACCTTAATTGTTCTGGAGAAAACAATTATTTGAAAATATATTAATACACCCGTATAGATAATATTTTATGGGGTAAATTTAACACAGTAGGGATGCTACTGAAATCCTAATTGGTTCAATGAATCTGGATTAATCATAGAAAAATAAATAAAATCCGAAGATCCAAGTGCTTTATAAAATATGACATTTAAAAATCCGGATATTATTTCCATTTCTGGTACATAGTAAGTACTCGAGTCTCAGCTAATATATTCGGATAGTAACAATTACAAAATATATCATGTTATGCTTACCAGTAGGACCACGTCTTGCGAAGCCTTTAATAAAATATTAAGAGTTTTACAAATGCATATTTAATAATTTTATGTAATATATCTTATTTAAGTTACTTTAAGTTTTTTTTAAAAACATTAAAAGTAATCACTACCGTTTTCTAATAGGCACAATGTATTAAGATTTACCTAGGATTTGCACTAATTTCAGTTGAATTGCCCTTTCATTTCTGTATATTCTATGATACATTAAAGCTAAATCTATAATCACAACATATTCCTATTAACATTTGTTATTACATGTAAAAATTTTCATCCAGTGGTGTCAGGGCATAGTGGGGATGGGGAGGTCTCAGGATTACAGGAATAATTACAACTGAAAGTGATAAAATCTCTTCTAAAGTTCTAAAGTTCTTAAAATTCTTCTAAATATCTTGAAATTACAAAAATCCAAAAAATTACATTCCCCGTAGGGGGAACCTAACCTAACCGTAGGGGTAAGTGGCAGATGGGCTATAATTTAAATTTGAAACTACTGGTGTGTAGTGGCATATAAAATAAATATTCCTTATAAATTTCAACTCAATCCGACTCTTCTTCTCGTAATTATAACCACTAAAAGATGAAACTTTAATAAAACTCTAAATATAGAAATAACTTTAAACCAATGAAAGAATTATTTCGAAAAAAATATCACAAATCAACTTTATTGATATTATTAGTTATTATAATGTATTCGTTATTATTAAAAAAAAAAAAATACCTCTCGCTCTTCTGCCTGTCATAAACCTAGAATCTAAAAAATATATTATACTTTACAATATTATTAAGAGATATAATGTCCGACGCATAATTTTAGTATTTCTGACTAATGAAAATTTTAATCACCTAACCAAAAAAAAAACCCTGTCACCCGATGGTATACAACGTATTGTACTTTACCTGGTGGGTAAAGGAATTCCGCCATTCCATCTGAAATAAAATACAAACAATTTGCTTGTTAAAAAAAATCTATAGTGCGTGCGGGTAACAATCCTCAGACATCATGTTTCATTGAATCATTAAAATGTACTGATAATGTGTGCAACGTGGCGAAAGGAATTGATTAGTTTGCTATTAAATACCAATTTATGTGTAAAGTAAGAGAAGCCAAGTAAATATTAACGGTTTTACTTTACAGTACAACGAGAATATCAAAAATATTCGGTAACCAATATCAAATCAATACCCTACATATTATAATATTGTAAAGAAAATTTGATTTGAAGCAAAAATAATAATACCATATTTGAATACACGTAAGAGATATTCAATCAGGTCGTATTTTTGATCTGAAATCAAAGTACAAAAACAAATTACTAATGATTTTGTTGAATAAACTTTTGTAATGGCCATTAAATATTCAATTAAACATTAAGGCGAGTTGGGCATAGTACATAGTCTATAGTTTTAGAGGCCTGAAGAAGTTCTAAGTAGTTACTATAATAATTGTTACATAGACTTTGTATATTATTCTGTAGTAACTAGTATACAAAAATCTAAAATATCAACTTGTTGTGTTATCACTTATCAGAGGTATATGTATATTAATTTTTACCTGTTTTAATTTAAAAAAAACAAATACTGTATTATTTGTATTTTCTTTATACTTTTCTGAAATTGTTTTATATTTCATTGTAAAATAGTTAATCTATAGGTAACCTACAAAAAAGCAATTACTAATTTACCAGATTTTAGAGTTTAGAATGTGTCTATTTTTTTAAAAATTTATTATTTACGCCCAACTTCATATTTGCCGTATAATTACTTTTTATTTTTCTCTTAATTATAATATACTATATTATTAATTATGCAAACACTCACCATCGTCTAAAAGTGAAATCATATGGTCTAAAAAACAAAACGAATTTTATACAATTAATAAAAACAATATACAGTGAGGTCGAAGCGATCATAAGATACTGTCGGGATTCTGTGACATTGAAAACAATGAAATCTCTTTCAAAAAACCTTAGAGACACACACAAAACACACTGGTTTTACTATATAAATACAAGAAAACCCCATCTCATTTCCAACAGTCTCTTATTTTAGATGGCCTACTAAGGTGATATCAAAAGTTCTTGTTTTAAAGACACGTCAGTTCAGTAATAAAATATAAATAGCCAGTTATATTGACAGGCAATTTTTGTTGTTTGTATTTAGAATAATGTGTGAAGTTATTTAATGTAAATTATTAAGAATTCCATCAAAGGAAAAACAAAAAAAATATGCAAGGAACTAAATAAAAAATAAAATGCCTTTCTAGTTTTACAACTTTTAAATTTATCAACTTTATTTTTATCCGATTTATGGCAAAAGTTTCATAAAAAATTACTTTCGTAGAAGTAATTTTCTGGCGTATCTATTAGATCGATTAAAATTTATTTTTTCATATGAAGCTTACTATTTTCTCTATGGGAGCTAAAATGTTTATTTTGATTTAGGAACTAGAAAAAGATTTATTAAGAAATAACTATAAGAAAAGTAAAAACATAAATTATTATAATACTATTTCAAAAACAAAATAAAAAAACCGAAAAGAATTTAATAACTAGTCTGCTAACCAGTCAATTATTAATTAACTGAATACTGAAATTTTATGAATGGGATTCATAAATGAAAACAAATAGTTTTATCTAACTTGCAAAAACATGCTGTACGTAAAACATAGCACAATACAAAATATCATAATGATATAAATGAATAGTTTTTCACTTAAATATTATGTCGTAACGTTACAAAATGACTTAAAAAAAAAACTCACTGGTCTTAAAAATCTGCTTACGACATGCTGGAATAATAATATTATGTACTATCATATTTTTTACAAAATCTTAAAGCAAATCTGTTGTTCAACACAGTCCGTCGCAAAAGTTTTAAGACTAATATTTTTAAAATTTTACTAGTGGTGCTATCTATCCCGCAATATTTGATCCACATAAAAAGATTAATAAGATTAAAAAGTTCCACTTTCTGACTAATTTTCTACTAAAAAGTGCCATAATTATTGCAGATTGATATCACAAAATTCACCGCCTATTAGGGTGTTGGCAAATAGGAATGATATACATTTTTTAGGTTGGTAATACTGATTATTATCATTGTTAACAACAACAAAAACAATTTATAAAAGATCGATTATTATTATACTATCAGTTTGTATAAAATGTAAAATTAGTAAACAAAAATTTAGTATATTGTTAATAATTTAATTTTTTTTATTAATAATTAACGTGAGGTGGAAAGTGTTTTGAAATACTTTTCATCATTCCAATAAATAGCTTCAATAGAGGTAAACCAAATAAATATTGCTTATGCATTTCAACTCGATCCGATCATTTTTGTCGAAATTATAGCTAGTCAAAGTTGAATATTGAAAACTCGTAGTTATAGTTATTTTTTTCCTCCATCTTAGGGTTAAGGTGTGATTTTTTTAAAACTTTTACCCTCCTCTCTCAACGGGGATGTCCAAAAATATAAAATGTGTGAGCTATATAGTTGCTACTCGAAGAAATTGGTTCAGTATGAAACATTTTACAGTAGGTACAGAATAAAAAAAAAAAAGACATTGTAAAATCAATAATATTGACCTCTAAGCATAGAAACCAAAAAAAATGTAATGAAAAATGATTAAAGTATTTAGGTTATACCTTCTCTTGGTACGCATTCTATATAGTTTATAACAATGCAAATAGTTGTAAACACAAACAAATATAAAACTTGTAGCTTATTGTTAGTCATTTTCATTCGATATCTAAAAAAAATAAAAAATAGCCGAATGTCAATTTCAAAAACTATACGAGTAGTTAAATTAATAGTGATACAAAGTTAGATTTCTAAAATATTTATGTAACACAAAATTCTAGCAAAGGTACCTTGAGAGTACTTGCAGATTTCATCAGTATAAGCAGATTGAAAAATATTGATTTGGGATAGGTAATATTATGTCTAACGTTGTTAAAACTATTTTTTATTTTTTTAATAGATTATAATTACTCATATTACCTGTTATCTCGTCGTGTTGTTGGGTTCGTGTACGTAAATGAACAAAAAAAAAAAAATGTTGGTGCAATACCAATGTTTGTACCTTCTGTATAAACATGACGAGACACTGTTATTTTTCTTTGAACGTATAAAACACTTTTAGCAGAGTAAAAAATGTACAACTATAACATTGTACATTAATGTATACTACATTGCATATTATTGAAACATTTTCTGAAAAATAAAAAAAATGTCAGTACAGTGGGGCCGGGGCATAGTGGGGACGGAGAGGTCACAGTTCTACAGATTTTATTATAACTGAAAGTGATATCACTTCTAAATAAACGCTTCGATGCGAATCTGTGGATAGTATGTTCAAACCAGTTATAGTGGTTTAGAAGATATCGTGGGACCAGCAATAATGTACTTAAAATTTAATATTCAGTCGTGTGCAGGGTGGATACGATAAGGGTTGATCGTTTGTCTATAAAAATGTACTGTCACAGTTACCCATACATCGTAATTAACAATATAATGAAAATATTTCCATTACCTGTTGACTGTTGATTCACACACACATAGCAACCTAGAAACTGACTACGGCCAAAGTGTAAATTTACCCTATTATTGGGGTTTTCCTTAAAAAAAAAAAAAAAAATTTGACTACAGATTTTTGAGAAAATTGTATATGTTACAGTTCCATTTTAGATCTACCTTCGGTCTAATTTTCAGATCTAAATCTCTAAAACTTTGCTTGAAAAGTGAAAAAAAAAAAAAAATTCTATCCCTTCTCAGGGAAAGGGTTTATGATATTTTTTTGGTTTGTTAATGTTTATCGATAGTACTATGTTTGAAGAACAATTCATATAAATTTGGAACATTTTCGACTATTTTTAAAAAAGTTATAGAGCATCGTAATTTTAAGTTGAAAATGTGTAAATTTTTTGGTTTTTTTCTCGATTTTGATGGGGAAGGGTTGAATTTTTTAAATTTTTGGCTGAATAAAGTAACTTCCAGGTATGATTTCTGATCTACAGAGTTGCTACACGAAGAAATCGGCTCAGCGGTTTACGAGATATCATGGGTCCGGGCACAAAAAAAAAAAACACATCATTGTAAAAACATTACCTTCTCAGCTCCGCATCGAAGCTAAAAGTAACAAAACAAAGACACAAAAAAACATCTTTGTAAAACCAATACCATCTCTGCTATCGCATCGAAGCTAAAATCCGTTCAAGAAAAGAACGGGGATATTCGACCAAGACTGTTATTCTTAAATAGTCTTTTACTTAATATTCTTTTATTTATTTTTCCTAATTTAAACCAATTTATGTATACATTCATTGTTAATTATTAATACAGGGTTACAAATGCTTTCTTTATTACTACTACTCACTTACATATAATGCTTTTTTATTGTGCTGGTCTATACTGTGCAAGGTTTGGGTTGTACTGGTTTAAGCCTACTGCCTATAGGACTTGACGTCTGACCACTTCTGTTGTGGCTAACTATAGTATGGTAACTGTCAATATTATAAGTTAATCTGTTTTTAGTTATAAAACGTTAATACCCTTACCTATGGTATTAGCTGATAACAGACGCTACTAATGTACAGTTTATGAATCTTGCAAACTCCATCATACTCCAAACGTATACACCATATCAATAAAAATACAATTTAAAGAGTATGTTCGCCTTTACAATGATTCTATCGACATTTTTACATCTATTGTCTACAGATTTGCAAAGAAGAGTTTATTTAAAGGAGATTGTTATCACTTTCAGTTATACCCAATACATTCCTGAATACCTGTACCTGTAGCCTTATTAAATCCGACATGCTCGGTCACCACTATGCACCGACCCGTATGTGCTCGCTTTTAGTTAATTAATCCTGGTCGGGTTATAAATAATATGCGTTTAATGCACCTGTTAATGACGTAGTGTTTGCACAAGTATACACGCGCCGAGCTTTGAGAAAACCTATGGTTAAATTGCGAAAGTATTGTTGAAATTGAATTTTCAAATTAATACTATAGATATTAAAAATCAATAAATTGAGGAAAAATCGTGCAACAACGATATAGTTTCAACGTGTGGTGTTACCGATTGCTTTAAAAATTATTATTAAAAGTGTTAATTTATTAAAAAAAAAACTGATGTTTGAATAATCTATGAGACATTTTCGACGAAGACGTATAATATTATTATGCCGGAGTCGTCCGTTGCGAGGCAAACGGTTTTCGAGTATTTCGCGTCACACGAGCGGCACTAACTTTTGCAATCGAAAACCTGTGCGAAATCTTGAATCCAGACCGTGGACAATGCGTGGCCATTTAATGGCTTCGGTTCTAATCGCGTTTGTCGTTACAACCGTACGGAACGCCACCGGCGTCACGGCGACGCCGCCGACGGCGCCCATGATGTTGACCCCGGGGCAGCTCGACTTGGTGCTAGGCATCTGTCAACAGCGCCATTGGCCCGGTTTGTGGTTCGGCTCGGTCCGAAACGGCGCAGACTGGATCGATACAAGCTGGCTGGTCGGTTCGAATTGCGTACCCGGCGCGTGGAAGAAGCTGCACCAGATCCCGCAGATGTTGGGATGCCAGTACGGTTTGAAGTTCTATTGGTTCCTGTCGTTGGCCATCCATGCGATCGGCGAGTGTGACCGCGTGTCGTCGCTGAACGACGGCGACGGCGGCGACGATTGTTGGAACAAACTGACCGGGGCTCTGCCGGGAGCCTCGTACACAATGATGGAGGTGATGGGCTCGTTGGCGTACGCGCATTCTGCCATCGGCCGCGGTGCCGCCGACTCGGATGTGTTCTACCAGCATTTGTGGTCGATCCGGAAGTTCCTGTGCACCGTCGACTTGCCGGAAGACCGCGATTGCGCCGTGCACGAAATATACAACCTCATCGGTCTCTTGCTGGGCTTTATGGCTTCGTTCTGTCGGCCAGAGTGCCCGCTGTTGAACGTGGACGTCTTGAATGAGCGTCTAAGACGATTGCCCCGAGTCAGCAGCTACGATTTCTATGTGGACGCAATGAAATATTACACGGAAGACGTGAGCAAACATTTGCAACAAATAGGATTCCGCTATGACATGAGTACCGACCGAACTACCTTTGTTTATTCGTTTTAGGCATCACACTGTATTTATTTATTTTTTTTATCCAACAATTCGTGCCCGTACGATCGCGTTTATGTTTGCGTGTGCATTGCGATAGTCTCGGCGTCGTTACAAGCGGATTGTGTAATTCATAAGGATTTTATTTTATACACATAACCGCAGTGACCATAGTAACAGCAGTTAATAGATTCAATAAAAAAACCTTGCGATTATGCCATGTAAAATAACATAATGTATTATAGGTATTATAACTTGCATGATTATTTATAAAACTAACTATATTTTAATTAAATGATTTAATACAATTATATGTAATAAAAGTCGAATAATGTGTTATTTATTATATAATCTTTGTGTTCATTTTTATGAAATAAAGCCGAATTTCACCTGGTTCCGATGAGTCTATCGCGATAGACTATAATCATGTATGATAATATTTTTCCTTGGGTTTCAAGTTATGACAGTAGTGTTAGATTTTTGTTGTATAAACAATGTTTTGGTATAAAGAAATTCGTTATAATGTCGACAAAATTTGTACTATCACAAAGTAGGTACTCAGTTCGAACAAAATAATATTGTGTTGCTTAAGTTTTTTCTAGGCAAAGTATCCATACTTAAAAAAAACACTTGTTTAAATTAAACTTTAGAACAAATCAATTATATTTATTTATCCACGAATGAATATGTGTTATAATACATTAAATTGTTAATAGTATGCTTACACAAATGTTGAAGAAAATTAAGTATTACTTACTTAAAAAAAAACATGATTTTAGAGTGTTAAAATAAAAAAAAAACTAAATAAATATTATATATTATTATTCAACAGACGGTCAATAAATCTATAAGAAACACAACACATTAGGAGAATTTTTTATTTTTTTACAATGAGGATAAAACGAAAATAAGTTAAAAACACAATTACATATTTTATAAAATTGTAAGATACATCATGCAGGATTATTATCTTAAACATCAGCTGACACTTATGTAAATGCATTTTTAACATTAAATCTCAAAGCGGAATTGTATTAGGATAAAACCAAAATAACTAAAACTTGTGGTTTTAGCAAGACAATCATCGTTATAGTCGATTATTCTCTTATGATATGGTACTATATCTGAGAAAATCTATATTTGTTATTTGTATGTTATAAGTTATAAATGTTGTTACAATATTTTTTAATTATTGTTAACATTTACTGCTGATATATTATTATGCAGGTGTTCATTTTGCGCTAAAATTGAGCCTAAAACTAGAACACCTGGGGATACATTTCATTCGTCATATTATATGTACATAATATAGGTAATAAATTCTTGAAGTTTTCTCAGCGTAATTTGTACGTTTTAAATTGTTCCAAAATTACCCCTTAAACAAGTACTGTACAACTATATTACCTAGGTATATTAAACGTTATGTTTGATAATTTAATATAATAACGAGGAGAGCAGAAATGTGCCACAAATTACAAGTAATAACGCAGATGATTATTAAGTATTTGAGCAAACTTAAAACTGGTGCATTCATTCTTTAGACTAATAGATGTTGATCACATTCCATTTCGCGAAACTCATTAAGTATAGGTAAATGATTATGTAGTCAGAGACATAAAAAACAAATTTTTTTGTAAATATTTTGATGCTGAAGAAAAATGTTACATTATATTTTACTGAAGCTTAATCACGGTATAACATGTCATAGACGATTATAAATAATATTGTCACGGTTAATAGTGTCCAAAATTTATAACATATTCCATATTAAGTATTATTATATTTTCATCATTAGGTACATATGTCTACTAATAATGTATTATTACTAGTACATATTTTTTAAGTGTAAAATTTAATAATTGCCCAAATGACGCGATTGAATTTTTAATGTTTGTAAAAATTCAATTTTATATTATAACACAACACCTACCCATATTATCTTCAACTACTTCGTGCTTACTGATATAGTTTTGTATTTAAATTGGTGAAGCTAATCACTGTTCTCTGCCAACGACCATACCACGTTGAATACACCAGTTCTCGTCCGATCACTGAAGTTAAGCAACGTCGGGCGTAGTTAGTACTTGGATGGGTGACCGCTTGGGAACACTACGTGCCGTTGGCATCCTTTTTTTTTGCTTTTTCAATTCTTGTTTTCATTATTTTAATATTTTTTTAGTATACTAAACGTCGATACAATTATTGAAAAAGACATATAACGCTGATGATATAAATACATTTGTCAATTTTATTTCCTTTGCCGAATTCGGAAACTGGTTTCATAATAAAAGTAAAATTTGTATTTTTTTTTTTTTTTTTATAATTATTATTGAAATTATAAATATTATTTAATACAAAGGTGATTTGTAGGTTTAAAATATAGAATAATAAACATTAAAAATATTTATAATTAACTATCTCATATTGCACAATATGTAACCAATAAAATTGTCACGAGGTTTATATTTTTGTAAAACAAAAAATGTCTTATCTTAAACTGAATATAACATTGAAAATGTGAACATTGTTTGCCGACACCACACTTTTATATTTTCACACTGGTCTGCACGAGCTTATGTGACTTGAGGCTAAACTAGTAAATTCACGTTCGCTTACTTACAGTGCATTCAGTCACATTCATAGCAGCTGTATTTGTTTCTTCGAGTATGTTTGTTGATAGTAGTTTCTAGAATTTTGGCAATTGGCTTTTGTTCGCCTCTACTTGAAGTACAAGTGTGCGGTGTTGCAAAATGACACAAAATTTGCTGTTTAGTTATAAATGACTTTTGACACACATAGCAAACAAATGACTATATTTTGACCGTATCGTAGTTAGTCAACAGCAACTTCTGTCCCATACTGGAGTTTTCACACAATCAATATGCCTACTTTATTTGCTGTCCATTGCACTCTTTGTCAATACTAAAAACAATACACAAAAGTTGTGAAATAGTATAGAACACCAGATATTAAATAATTTTTCTAATAAAATATATAGTGCAATTAACATAAACTATTTCAAACATTGAAAAAAATATTTTAATTAATAAATTACATTACTTGTGCGAGTATTATCATATGTTTTCCACCAAAATTCATCCAGAAGTGTAGAACAACTGTTATCATATGATTTAGTAGTAGAAGTAGTTCGTCTTCTTCAAATTTTATATTTGCCTGTTAGTTACAATCAGCTTTTTCATAATTTCCAATTTTAATTTCTGACTCTTTCCACGTTTCATTAATACTACAAATAAAAAAAATACATAGTCAATAAAACTGACATCTAGCAAAATACAAAGCATTGATAACCTAAATTTTATATGTATATAAGTTAGATCATTTTTTAATTTAGCTTGTGTCTTTTTAAATGTATTTTTATTAAATAATTAGTACCACAATTATTTCAAACAAACTATATTTGAAAATCCCTACCGTTGGTCTATCAGTTGTTGTTTCCGAGCAGTTTGTTGTTCCTGCCTACGGTCGGTTTGCCTTCTTCTTCTTTCAGTCACAAGTCCCAGAGATCTCCTGCAAGGCATCGTGAAAATCTGTAATAGAAAAGCAAGTATAAGGCAAGCTCTTATTTTAAGAAGATCTGCAGGCTCGTGCAAATTACATCAAACCGTACAACAAATTGTTGCGAGTCATTTTACGTTAAGCTGAATAGATTATTTTATATGACGCATATTTATCCATAATTACATAAATACGTTATATTTTTTTATCGATTCACTCAAAGGAATCTAATTGAATTTAAAATTTTTCTTTTTTAGAAAATTCGCTTATGTCAAAATTTAGACAAAGTATCAATCTCTAATTTTGTATAAATGTATTTTTACGCTAGAACTGCTCAGGTTTTTAGAAAAAGTATTTTACCTGAGATATGTTTTACCCGCAAAAAAGTGGAATGACAATCTCAAGAGCACAAATGTTCAAGAATAATACTACTAGACTGGACATTATTGAATCTTTATCATTTAAGTATTAACCCATTGAATGATTCTTAATTTGTATTTAAAATTAATAAAAGATTAAATTCGTTTTAACAGTAAATTAGTTCAACAGTAAAAAACTAACATTTTTGGAGACTTTCCAACCATAACCAACTAAAATTAACTTAAGTATCTACCTAGTTAGCAAAATACATTTTGAATTTATTTTGTCAAAATTTTATTTTATCTAACTGAGAAGTGAACTATTCAAACTTAGTTTGAATATTCATACTTAGTTATTAAAAACTTTTTTCATCTGAGTTTATTGCATATTATATATATATATATTTTAAACTTTTCGTGATGTCAAGTTCATATTATTATGTGATTCTTACGTGAGATAAGCAAGTGTTCTTTTGAAAATGCATGACTGTATTTTGTCCGAAAATTAGTTAATTATTAGCACAGCTAGTGGCAAATTTTCTTTGATATCTAGCACAAGCTTATTTTTTTTACATTCATTTTGAATATTCCGGCTCGTAGTTGCCCTTAATATAACACTAAAATCAATACAATTTGTTTAATACAAGTTTTAGAAATGGTATAGAAAAAGTAATCAAATCAATAGTAAAGTATTGTTGTTCCTATTATCAGTTTTCATTTTTCATAAAAAAAACTGTGTCAACGATAAATGTTGAGCGTTTTAATTGTTAACTAAATTATACACTTCAAATACGAAACAGACTCACATTTGAATGCCAAATGCTGAACTTTAACATAGTTTAACGAACAGATACGTTTATCTCGTTGAATCAAATGACATCACATAAATCGTCAATTATTGCAATATTATGTACTGAATTTGTATTGAAAAACTGAAATTATAATATCACGATTAAAGATGGTTAATTAATGTCTTTTTTGATTTCCAAAATTCAGTTTGTGTAAGTTCTAACTTGCCAAGTCAAACGCATCGCCATGTTAGAAGAAAACTAAATATGATTAAAACTTAAATGTAATATTATTGTTATTGATCCGTTTTCGCAAGAGATAACACTGATAAGAGATAAATTTCATAAGATGTGTAAACAAAAAATATTGGCCATAATATTATTTTATTAAAAAATAAAAACCCATACTATTATATTGAATCGAAACACATTTTTGTTTGGAAACTGTTGTAAACAAACTAAATCGAATTTAATACCATTCAACGCGTTTTCTTTTGTTGACTTTAGATTTTACATTCAAGATTATCATTTGCACTGTTTTCACATCTAATCGTCTCATTCGACGACTTCTTTGAAAATTAAACAAAATTATTAAACTCGTTTACATAATCCAGTCAACACTCGACTCGTACAAGGTAACTAAATACCTATGACTATTTAATTATAATCCTTACTTTTTAAATGACGTGTTAGCAAATCGGTTACATAAGCGACGACCATTATCAATACAAATAGTTTTGACCGAGTTAAAAAACTACCAAGTTGACGACAATTCGTTTGTTTATGGACTAAAGTGCATGTTGTTACGGTTTTTTGTTAATTGTTTCAAATTAAGTTTAATACTTACAATATGTAGTTTATTCCAAGTAGAAACTTTGGGAATATATCAACAGCGATACTGCAAAAGGGCGTGCCTACATTCATAATAGTTTGCTATAAAAAAAAAAAGGTTTTTATGGCCTTAGCAGTACTTCAATCACTTACACCTTTCCTTTTTATTTTTTCATGAAGAGTTTTCAGTTTAATACAATTTTGTTGCGCTATTTTCACGTTAATTGTGCTGTTATAGGGATGGTGCATTATGTCGACGCTTATTAGGCAAAAGTATGTAAACGACATTATTGTAATTTTACAAGACAGCTATAATAAAAATACAGTACTTTTTCTGTTGGGAAATTATCTTAAGTTCTAATTTTTATATTAATCCGTTAATTTATCATATATTATTTCAACTGTCTTTTGTGCCTTACAACATTTGTTTACTACTGACAACAACTTCATACATGTTTAATGGCGTTTACGAGTTTTATAGGTAAAATAATCATAACAATATGGGTGTTGGCTTAATCGATAGAAAATCAAGGTGTTGACGCTAATAATTAAAAACACACGATTGGTCTAGAAAATGATTTTACTTATTTACTTTTTTTCAATTAATTATATTAAGCAATTTTATTTTATAGATCGTATATTAAGTAAAAATTAAATGGTTTACTTTTTTTTCAGCATGTCAGGTAAAAACATTCAAGATGAAAACATGAATTTTCTTAGAAATGGAATACAAAACATTGACATAAATTCAACAAATATTAATAAGTAAGTTGGGGTGGTTTTGAAAATATTTTAATATATCTCTTTTAGTCTGTCACTTATTACAGTATAAAACTACCATCTGTTCTTTTAAATGCCTTGCAATTTTGTACAATTATTGCGCTTTAGCGTTATTGTTATAATAAATGTATAAAACGTAAAAACTAAAAAAGTAATGGATTTTTTTGTATTGTTTTATTATTACTTAATTGTTATGATAATTATAGTATTTGTCGTTTCAGTCGTGATGACATTGAAACCATTAAAAGACAGATGCAAAGTATGCATATAGAAAACCATCTCAAACAAGAGTAAGTTTTTCTGTTTATTTTACCAAACTCCAAAACAACTTATTTTTAACAAAATTTGTGTAGAAAATATTTGGTTTTTTTTCTACCCGTTACGGTTTTGGGCATAGTTATGTTTTTTTTTTTTAATTTCTTATAGTTATGTTAAATAAAAATGTCCAAGAGGTCCAGGCGCTAGTGTCATTTAAGTCCCATTTTTTTGCCCTCATTCGGTATTTAATTATCATTAAAAAAATGTCTAAATATTTAAAAATAATATTTTGTTAAATAAAATAATAGGAAGCAAGTAGTTTTTTTTATTTTTCATAGCTCTAATTTTGTACACACTTTTTTAACATGGATATGTTTATGGGCTGGGGGTCATTTTGAAATACGGTGTTACGATTCGTTTATAGACATACAGATGTAATCGACATAAAGTTTATTTATGTAATATTGTGAAATAAAAGCACATAAAAAAAAAATTAAAAAAAGAGGCTATATTTTTATGAATTGTTTTAAGCCAGATATTAAACACTAAAATATTAGCCAGAAACTTGATATATTTTTAATATACTAGCCATCTTAGATACTAGAAATCGTTATGGTTTTACGGACCTGTAATGCTGAAACATATCCATGATTCAATGTTTTTCCGTGATTCGAAGAAAATAACTAGGTTTTTCATCAGTTGTTACCTACTTTAAGAATATTACAAACAAACAATATATTATTGTACATTTTATCAGGTTCAAATGTTTGGAGACGACTTCTTTGGCGGCGTCTACACAATTTGCGGAACCAAATGTTAAGAACAGTTGTCTGTTGGCAAGTAGTGCTGAAGGACTTCATAATACAGACGAAAACCCATACAGTTTAATAAAATCATTCAAGATTACTATAAAAAAGCCGCATCACCGTGCAAAACATTATTACTTTGGCTACGATGATAACACCGACATTGAGATGAATAAATATAACTGCTTTGCGAAGTACAAGTGCGGGTATTGCAATAGTAAATTCTTTAAGCGATATCATCTAGTCAAACACATCGAAATGGCGCACAATAAAAATGGTAAGAAATCTTGCGATTTATGTCGTAAACAGTTCACCGGCTACAAAGATCTGATCAAGCATAAGAAACGCCATTGGGAAAACAAATACAAATGCGACATTTGTAAAAAACGTTTTGTGCATTCAAAAGATTTCAGGAATCATAAAAAATCACACGACTTAAATTTTCATAGATTTAACAAAATTTCAAAGTCAATTTAACTTATAACTATACTTTTAACTTGTACTGTCCCTCTAAAAATTTTTTTTTATTAGATTGTCATGTGTGTGTATATTTCTTTATTACTTTAATTAAGAGTAAGACTTCTATTTAATTTTAAATTTACGCTTGTAAATCGCATTTTCATCAATACTTTACGACATAATATTTAGGAAAACTGACATTTTTTTATTTGTAAGGTGTTCTATATACAAATCTAAGTTTGTATTAATCGTTGTAAATATTACTAAGTCTTTAAATTTGGGTTTCTTATATAATAATATAATATATTATATTGTATTCATTATCGAGTGTATTTATCTAGCTTTTATTAATGTGAATTTAAAACTAAAATTTGATCTCTCCTATTTTTACCATAAAACAAAAAACAGTAACTAAGTAAAATAATTTATACTATTAAGATTAAATTATTGCGTTTGTATTCCTATAACACATAGTTAATAGTTTGCTTTAAATATTGTAGTCAATTTTACTTGAATTTTTTTGAATATACGTAATTGTAAAAATGATTTGTGTATAATTAACACATTATTATAATAATAGTAATACCACCTTTAGTTTCATCAGAAACAAAATATATACATTGCAAAAGTTATCATAAATGGTTTAGCTTGGCACTTTACGAAATACATAGCTTATTGTTTGTGGTCGGTGTGTTTGTAATTAGCGCAACAACAAATTATAAGTAAATTAAAATAACATAAAGTAATACTATTTAAATTTCATGTTTCAACAAACTAAGTACTAACATGATCGTACATGTTTAAAAAATTACTAACGACAAAATTTTAATTAAAAAAAAAAAACAAATTAGTAATTACCAATAATATTACACCGCAGACTATATTTTTGTTACTCTATTAATTTTCTGAACTGAAAACATTCAGTTCAATTTAAACCGTCATTATTCGTACACCATGTATATAAATTCTAACCCCTTTATCATCTCTTACAGTCTCTATTAATGCCCTTTCTACATTGCCTTATTGTAAATCCTATTAATATTTATTATTCCTTAAGGTGTGTAAATTACTAAGACGCCCCTGCCACACATTGCAGTGAATGAAGACGGATAACATTGGAGAAAGTGGCGTGTTTCTTGTCAAATTCAAATAATATAATTTTGTTATGTTTGATTTCAAGATTATAGTAAAGACCATTGCTATACCTAAGTATAAAGAACTTGGTTTAACTATAGATTACACCTGGGCGTTATTTAAAATATTTTTAGACCGATTTTTTCGTGTAGCATAACTGCAAAATAGAAATCAGATATGAAATGTACCTTATAGAGACAAATATTTAAAAACTTAACACCGTTCCCTTCAAATTTGAGAAAAACTGTTTTCTTGAGTAAGGTCTTATTAGTTCTGAGGGCTATTTAAATAAAACACAAAAGCATATTTAATACAAACATGTGCATGAACACGTCCCTTTTTTTTTATATAAGTATAATGACCTATAAAAACAAATGAATTAGATAACATGATTAAAACATTTACAATGACCAAACAAATTAAACGTGTATTAACTTAAGTATATAAAGCAATTAATTATAGTTTTCCAAATACAAAGTAGTTATCATTGTGTTGAATATCGGCCAATGGCATTCCTAAGAGGGTTAATCATCTATCCTTTTTGAGCCTATCCTCAACCAGAGTTGGACAAAATGTAAATAATACAATAAAAAATAATATGTAATTTGACGACTATAGGATAATAATATTTAAGTGTAACGGATTGTTGCCCATTCGTTAAAATGAAGACAAAATCATAATGTACAAACGATAATGTATGACTTGAAATTGTTTGATTACCTTTTTGAATTTATATTTATTTAAAATAAACTGCTGGTACTTCAGGATATCGTTGAAAACCAATAAACGCTTGATGCTTATCTGTGAGCAATGCATCTCTCATTAATAGTTTCTTACTGTGCTGGTGTATACTGTGCTTGGTTTGGACTGCAGTACTAGTTTGAACTTGGTAACCGCAGATTCGCATCTTAGCGTCTATTTGAAAGTGATTTAATCACTTTATTTTATAATAACAGCTTTGTCCCCGCTAAGCGCCCTGGCCCCACTGTACTAGCTGTTTTTTTTCTTATTCATAAGGTGAATTATGTAGAATATGCGTTATAGCAGTTAAAATATTTTTTGTCATCAAATTTTTTTTTTTAAAAACAACAAATTTTGCAAAAAAACCAGTTTTCCTCCATAAAAAACGAAGGGCTGAGGTTTGGTAAAATTTTGCTTTAAGGCTATCGTCCGGAACGAATGTCAAATAAATGTTTTTACAATTTTTAAAAATTATATCTTGCTAATTTTTTGTAAAATTATAGCACAATTAATATAAACACATTTTATCATTTATATTTTTTTTGGCTTGTACGCGTTTTTTTAGTAGGTTGCTTAGAAGGTAGATACATTTTACAAATATTTATTAAGATGTTTTTTAGCTTCGATGCGGAGCTTTAAGACGGTGTTGTTCAACGACGTCTTTTTACATATTTTTTCAAGTTTTTTTTTATTTACTTGTCTGAACTTATTCGGGTTTTTCACGTAGCAAGCCTGTAATTTGGAAATCGTACCTAGAAGGCCAAAAATTAAAAAAAGCTCCCCTTCTTCAAAATCGTAAAAAATACCTAAGAGTTATCACATTTTGAATCTTAAAATTACGGTTCGCTATAACTTTTTTAAAATAACCACCGAATTGGTGTCAAATATGTATGGACCATTATTTTTGTTATTGAAATGATTTAACATACTTGTAGTTTGATTTCAGCTATAAAATCTTAAAATTGGGCTTAACTAGTTTGAGAAAAAAATGTTCAATGTGTGGTTATTGAAATTGGAGTATGAGATGATTTATTGATTAGCGCATGCTTGACAAATATTCTGTATAGATATTGAAACGTCTAAGTTAAAAGTAGAAAAACGTTAATTTTTGGGTATTTTCGATTTTGGTGGTTGGTAACACTCAAATCAATAAATACAAAATTTGAATATTCTTTGTAAGCTTGTTCTTTTTTTTGGTCAACGTTAAAAAATATTATAGAAAAACATAGTATGAACAACAAATACACGTTTAAGATTTATTTGATATAAAATCTGTTCAGGGAAATTTGTGTTTTGACTATTTACTTAAAATATGGCAAAAGTTACCATAACCTTATCGATTTATTATTTGAAATTTACACATGTTAAGCAAAATTAAATCAGCTTTCTGAAAAAAACATTAGCAAAGTTTTCAAAATGTAGGAAACGCGAAAGAATCAACTTTTTACACAATAAACTCAATTTGAATGATTTTCTGTTTTACTCGAAAAAAAAAATCGATATTTTTTCAGAAAGCTGACATTATTTTGCTTAAGAAACTGATTTTTAATATCATTTTTCTGTTGATGACCGTTGATTATATGAAAAAAATTATAAAAAATAATAAGTGTCAAAAAAAAAAAAAACTGAAAATACATTTTACGACAATGGCCAAAATAATCTAAAACATTTTGAAAACATTCTTTTCAAATAAAAAAAAACCGCGATGGGGCTAACTCCAATCGTTTATTTGTACTTGGTGTTTTGATCCGTTTATCACTTTCAGTTAAAAAAATTCCTTTGACCAGTGAACTCCACCTTCCTCTTTAATACGATGCCCCCCCCCCTTTATGCCCCGACCGTACTATAGTGGCTTTTTTTCTGTACTTTTTTGACTTTCAACAACAATATTTTTTCTATACACCTGCGACGGCTGACAAAACAAACAAAAAAATACAGGTCTTGATAGATTAACGGTATAAAAATCTATATTCACTGGGAAAATTGTGAAATCTAGTCGTTAAATTTTTCTATAAAAACCATAATAAAAGTTGTGCTCAACGTTGAAGATATTTTGCTTAAAACACGAAATGCTGGCTTAAGGCAAACCCAATATAATTGGGTTTTTTCGTTCCTTTGAAAATGTACACGCGAGAAAGGTAAACAACTAATGCGCAAACATAAACCAACTGCTGTGCGTGGACCATTTATTGTCATAGATATTCTGTAAACGTTACAAGCCAAGCCGACGATCCAAAACGCTTAAGTGTTTCTTGAGCTACCTACTGCAAGTAGGTTCAACGTCAGTAAAACATTAACATGATGATTAGTCATTTCAGTGTATAATCTATTGTGTGTTTCCGGCGCTCATTGCATATTGTCAACGATTGACGATTTAGATTTAGATGGACTAAAACGAATTTTTCGAGTAACTTCATATCGTTAACAAGGGGATTGGTCTACGCCAATATCCCTGCAGTTTTAACGCATTTTGAAAGATTGCGGGGCAAGGATCGAAAAGTGTTGGTTAGCGATTTTAATAACAATCGATACCGGGAACGTCGTCGGCAATTGCCGCAATAGAGGCTTCGGGTTGCTTCGTAGAGGATGCGGAATTCGAGATTTCCGGTATAAAAACGGTTTTGCCGAATAATAGAAACCCAGCAGAAATGTACGGCACCAATTTCAATCCACGGTATGATATCGAAATACATTATAAAAAGCTAGTACAAATGCAGAACTCAAACAACTTCCCGGCAAGTAGAACGATGTAGTCGAGATACTTATCGAACTGGCGGAGTGAAAATAATAGATTCTAAAATAAGAACAAATAAGCTTTTCTCGAAAAATCAGTACAATTTCCGTTGTTTTTATTTGGACACATTCTAGTTAATATTATATCAAAGTGTTTGACTATAGTAAAATTTGAATATTTTATTTTGATAATTTTTCAATAATTATATTGCTGTTATATTTTAGCACGTCCGTAATTAAAACGAAAATTGTTGAAACCGTCCGTGAGCAGCCGCAAGATAAGATAAGAATAGGTATGCTGCAGATTCGCGATGAAGAACATTTGAACGACTTTGTACGTGAACACAGAGTACAAGTAAGTATAAAGTATTGATATACTGTAGCAGATCGAGCACGTCTATAAACACAGAACGGAAATGATTTTAAACGTTTCCTAGTAATATTATACACATTCCGTTTTTACCAGAAACAATGAAAAACCAAACGCATTTCCATTTTTAACAATTTATGTACGTTTTTTCAGCCCAGTGGGATTCGTGTACAAGAAAATAACCAGGTATGCCACCTGTTATTATTTTTTCTTAAAACGTTTTCAAAATAATCTTAACAACGGTTGGCTAACGGTACGTCTTAAAGAATTTAGATCATTCACACCCTTTTAAATCACTTACCTACTCTAATCTATCTTTACTGGCATTTCAAAGGTTTTCTTAAATCATTTTATCCATAAACTCGCTTAGCAAAAACGTTTCAAATGTTTTGCTATCTTAATACAGAATGAGAATAGTAAGGTCGTGAA